CTGAGAACACAGCAGCTCATTTGGCAAAGGCCTCCTGACATTGGTACTACCAACATCCAGGAAAAACAGCTTGCTTTGTCAGTGCACAGAAAGCCTGTGACATTCCTGGTGGCACTGCACAGGAGGATAAGCTAAGCGCTTCCTTGGGCTAGCCAGCAGACAAGGAGATATGGATTTATTAGAGCTTCAAACACTCAAGGGCTTTGGGTGATGAGTGGGATTTCCAGATAAACTTTAAGCTACTTACAGCCTATGCAAACTCCCTTAGATCCTCTGATGAATAACATGAGAGATACTAAGAGAACCCACAAAGCTGGAAACATGCAGAACTAAACTACACATCTCCCTTTTCTCCTTTCTTCTCGCCAGCCTTGGCTTTACTGAGAACTCCTAAATAGTCATAAAACTGAAGAGGCAGAGTCAAGTGCTACAGGCAAACTCCAAAGTTGTGCAAGATGTGTCTTTTCCACTTATGGAGGTCAAGAAATAGATCTCAGAAACCCTGGGCAGACAGGGGAATCCCAGAACAGTTACATTGCTTGTGTATATGGCAGTCATGCCTTGGGAAAATCCCCATCAGGAAACAGGACTCATCCACAGAGGTGCTGTCCACTCAAAGGAAGGGACAAGCTCCACCATCAGACCTTCTTGCCCACCCCATTTGGAAGATATACATAGGCTTCACTGTTCACAAGAGCAGCAGCTCTCCTGCGCTCGCCCTGGGACAGGCTAGAGGCCATCAGTATCCAACTGCTCCTCCAATTTAGGCATCCCAGCAGCCATAGTCCAGCCCAGAGGGATTCAGCAGTGGGCTCTTCTCACTGACCAGTCCCATGCACAGCACCTTAAAGGGATGCTGTAGCATTCACTGGTTTTGGGGACTACTTTGCAACCTCCCTCTGTACAATCCTCAGCACAATCCTCCTCTCTTCTTCCCCAGGCACACCTAGCTCTTCTGCAGGCCTTCACCTGTAGGGAGGGGAAGGAGTGACACCAACCAGGGAAGAGAACTCAGCCTGCCCCAGCTCACTCCTCAGGATCCCTGCTGAGGGGCCTGATGAGCCATGAAGCAGGCTGGAGAGGCAGAAAACTCTGCATGGCAGATATAGGAAGCAGCGAGGCGCCAAGACTATCTGTGTGCTCCTGTTATCACAGGCACTCTGCTGCAACAACAGCACCTTATCACTGCCCTCAAGTCAGAGCTCCTCGCTGTCCCACTGAGTAGCTCACAGAGATCAGGTTGCACTTTGAGCTCCCAGCTCATCCCCCAAACCCAGAAAAACATGAATGCAACCCACTCACAGAGAATGGCACCATGCAGATCTCCAGAAAGGGACAGGCAGGGCAAGAATCCACTCTCCAGCCACATTATCTACAGAGTTTATCCTCTCCTCAGTAGTACAGCAGCTCAGGCAGATCCCAGAGATGCCATGCATCATGCTGAGTGGGTTTGGTACCCACTCAGCCCCTCATCCTCAGGGGCAGGTCCCCTCATCCCCACCCTCGAGTCATCCTTCAAAGGCAGCAGGGACAGTCACGCGCAGCAATGTCAAAGCTCCTCTCCATTTACCAGAGCACTGCTGCTTCAGCACTTTCCAGTGGCTAATGGAGTGGCTCAGCACCACGAGAGGAGCAGGTCGATGGGGAGGCAGGGGGGAAGACGCAAGCAGCTCCTGACTGCCCTGCTGGAGGTTAACCAGCTGCAACGGGAGTTTAACAGGAATTTCAGCAATCTTGCGGTGGCTTACTTCCCCCCTTCCCTGCAGTCTCCAAATCCTTCATTAACTTCTTACACTAAGAGAAGAAGAGTGCAAAAGTTAAATGAGCTCTGACAAGTTTTCAAAAGGGTTTTTAAGCATCCTCCACTCCTTTTTGCTGTTAATTAGCAACAAAGAACCACCACCGGGAGAGGCTTTGGTACAGACTGAACAGCTCTCGCTGCTGCCCGCACACGCTTCAGCTCAGCTCAAATGCTCTCAGAGGGCCCCAAAAGAGGCACCAGAGAAACCCAGTTCTTGCAGCACTTCCCACAGCTCACGCTGCAATCTTTCAAGGGCACCGTGTTTAACTTCGCAGCACTGCACTAACTCACTTAAGTGGCTGAAAAACAGCTTACTCCATTTTGTCCATTTTCCAGCTGTTTTTTTTTTTTTTTTTCTGAACAGGTTTTTGCCCCTCAGAATTGAAGTTTAAAATGTAACTGATACTCTCTGACAAACCATTGTGAGCTGCAGAGTGTTTCTGTAATGAGACCCTCCCCACACCAGCACCAGGCACAGCAGAAGCCCCCATGGCCCTCATTCCCAGAGAGGCTTGTGGAATACCTGGAAGGATGCTGTGCCTTCATCTCTCTCTACATTTAGAAACCAGAGCAGCAGCACAGTCTGTGCAAGGTCATGGAGCAAGAAAGTTTGCAGGAGCACTTGGTCTCAACTCTGGTACCACATGCCAGCCCTCTCCATCTGCCAGGGAGGATGGCAAGCGCCTGCCTTATCCAGATCAATAGGAATAAGACCTGGGGCAATGCAAGACACACAGCTTCCATCTAACAGAGAAGAGCAGCCCCTGGAGAATGGGCAAAGGGAAAAAAATCCCAAGATTTTTTTTTTTTTCCCCAAGAAGTAGGAAAATGGGCCCCACGAGACTCTTCTTGCACTTTGTTCTTACCCACTGCTTTGGTCACAGGCCTTCCTGAAAATGAGGCATTGTCCCAAGGCATATTATGAAATTCCCAGACCACGTCACACAAGGAGAGCACAGCGTTTGCTAGGGGGACGGGTGGGAGAGAAATCCCAGACTATTCCAGGAAACACAAGGAGACATCCCTGAAATGACTTCCCCTCCAGCCAGGAGGGGAAGGGAGGACCTCCCACCTCGCTCCCTGTACCCAACCAAAACTGGGTCAGTGACACAGCCTTGCTTGCAGCAAGAGCTCCTCTCCAGACACCAGCACACATGGAAGAGTCCGGCCAGGAGGGTGAAGGGGGCAACCTTGCCCCTTCCCATAGCCTGACACGTTTCCTGCAAGACAGCCCAGCTGGCCCCCCAGCCCTGTCAAAGAGGCAGGCAGTTCCTCCTCTGCTTCCTCCTAAGCACCACAACACTGCCAGCTGGCTCGAAAGAGAAAACCCACTTTGGCCTTTCCCTGGCCCTTTAACAGACAAAACAATGGGAAAAAAAAGATCCCCGCACCTTGTTTTCAAAGGCCTTCTCTAATTCTTTCCCAATTTCTAAGGCTGGGAACTGTTACAACTGACTGGCAGCCCTCACACACCTTCAGAAGAGACACAGGGTGCTCAGCCTGGTTGCAAAACTCAAGGTCTTGAGCTACAGCACCCTCAAGACCACTATCCTCCAAGTCAAGGGAAGATGGGGTGGGGGTGCCACATCCACTGCTTCATATCCCAGAGCCAAAACACCTCCCTTCTAGAAAGCCTCCTCCCTTCACAGCCCCTTCCTCCCTTGACCTTGACACAGATGCCAGCTCCAGCATGCACCCACTTGTCTGTGCCAGGGAGGGGATGGGGATGAGGGTCCAGGAGGGGGTCAGCTCCCCGTTCCCGGCTGAACCGCACCCACCGCCGCCCCCGAGCACCCACGGAGGGAGGGGAAGCCGAGGGAAGGCTTCGGGGAGCCGGCACTCACCGCTGTGCGAGCTGAACCACCGCGGCGCGATGTGAAGGGGCAGCGCGTCGGCCAGCGAGGCCCTGGCGCCCAGGTACAGCATCCCGTCTCTATGGTGACCGCCTCCCGTCTCCTGGAAACCGTTGCCATGGGCGTACGTGGAGTCGGAGCCCGGACCGCCGCCGCCGCCGCCCGGGGCCCGCTCGGCCTCCCCCGCCGCCCGTGCCGCCGCCGCGTACAGCCCGAAGGGGACGGCGCCGGCCGCCGCCGGGTCCATGCCCATCCCGGCCACCGAGCTGACGGAGCGGCTGCGCAGCCCCATCGCGCCGCCGCCGCCGCCCGCCCGGTAATGGCCGAAGGGGGGCGGCCCCCCCCCTCCTCCCGGCGGCGGCACGGCGCTGTCATCCGTCGACACCCCCGGGAAGGGGCCCCGCGAGCGGGTCGCCGTGCTCTGCTTGCCCCCCATGTGGGCACCGCCGGGCCGGAGGGAGCCGAGCGACAGCCCCCCGCGGGGAACGGGGCCGCGCCGCCCCCGCTGGGAGGCGAGAGGGGGCGGAAGGAAGCGGGGGGGCGCGGGGAGCTACGGGCGAAAACCCATCCCCGCCCCAGGCATCCTCCCCCCGCCGGGCCCGCAGGGGCGAGGGCGCCCCGAGTCCGCCGCCGCCACCGCCGTCACCCCCGGCGGAGGCCGCCGAGGGCTCCGGGGCCGCGGAGCGGGGAGGGAGCGGCGGGGGAGGGGGGGGTGGACGCCGGCAGGGTCGCTCCGCCCGCCTCGCTGGTGCCCGGGGCGCGGCCGGGAGCCGGGCGCGGATCAGCTGCGGCCCATGGGCGGCGGGGGCGGCGGGGGCGGCGCGCCCCGCTCCGCTGCGCTGCGCCGGGCACGGCCTCGCTGCGGCCGCCGCCTGGTGCTGGGCGCCGCGCCGGAGACAATAGCGGCCGGCAGCACGCATGCTCCCGCCCCCGGCCCCCCCGGCCCGCCGCCCTTAACCCCTGCGCCGCCGCCGCCCGGCGCTGCGCTCGCCGCCGCCGCGGGACGCGGAGCCGCCGCCGCACCGACGAGCGGGTGCTGCCCCGCGGAGCACAACCCTCGACCCACGCCACGCACACATCTTGCTCTGTAGCGGGGCTGCGACCACCCCCGGGCCTCTGCGGCCAGAGCCCGTCCGGAGAGGCCGGGCCCGCACGGGGACTCCCCCCTCGGGCCGTGGGACCCCCACCGGCTCCACGGGACTCGCTGCCCTTAGGGTTAGGGTTAGGGTTAGGGTTAGGGTTCGGGGGTGCGGGTGGGGGGCCGGGTCCGGGTGGGGGCGGGGGCGGGGGGGGGGGGGGGGGGGGGGTGGTGAGCGGCGGGACTACATCTCCCAGCAGTCCCCGCACAGCGCGCCGCAATGCGCAGGCGCGGCGCAGGCTCCGCCGAGGCGGCCCAAGATGGCGGCGCGCTGGAGCAGCGAGAATGTGGTGGTGGAGTTCCGCGACGCCCAGGTCGGAGGGCCCGGGGGCTGCCGCAGCACCGCGCCGCGGGGGCAGCCCCCTGCCGGCCCGTGACGAGCGGAGCGGGGGGAGGTCCCGGCCCGGGAGGGCGCGGCGGCCCCGCGGGGCCTTTCGGGGCTGAGGCGGTCCGGAGTCGTTTGCGCGGAGATAACGCCTTAATTCACGGGACACTTAATTTCTAATCTTAATTAGGTCTTGTATTTTTTTAAAATGCACTTTCAGGCCTAACATACGATATTGCCACTTCCCACACGTCTTTCCTCATTTCCTTTTGCTGGAGGAGCTCAAGGCCAGCGCGGATGGGGCCCTGAGCAGCCTGGGCTGGTGAAAGATGCCTGCGTGTGGCAGGGGGTTCGAATGAGAGGAGCTTTAAGGTCTCTTCCAACCCAAACCGGTCTATGCTTCTGTCACTTTTCACGGAGACTGTTACAGCTGTCTCACTGACAAATAAATTGCTGAGTGTTGTTGATTAAAATAAAAAGTGGCTTGTATTTTTTTTTTTTTTTTGTAAATGGTAAAAAGGTCGGCTTTTGTTTTTGAAGCTGATGGTGATAGTAGAACTCCGCTCAGAGTTTGTTTGCTCACATGCTGTTGTAGAAGTTGTTCTTACATTCTTGGAAGTGTTCATGGCTAGGCTGGACAGGGCTTGAAGCAGCCTAGTGAAGGTGTTCCTGTCCGTGAGAGGGATTTGGAGCAAAATTATATTTAATGTCCCTTCCAACCCAAGGCATTCTAGGATTCTATGATTATGTTCTAAGAAATGTGAGGGTCTTATGGTGTTGGCAATAGCTTAACAAAACTAGATACAGTGGGGGAACTATGAGATACTTCAGCAGGAAAGCCAGAAAGATTAAAAAAAATAGGTCTGGAAGCTGTTTTGTCTCATTTGTCTTCTTGTGCTGGAGCAGTAAGGGCTCTGCCTTCGCCATTGCAAACAGAAGATTTGAATCCTGTGTTCTGCATCCAGCCTACCCTATGTAAGCTCACAAAGCTTTTCACTTTTGTGCCTCAAAAGCTTTGTATTAGTTTTCCTCCCAGAAGCATTAAAGCAGCCTTGTCTGCTACTGAGGATTTGTCCTCAGGAAACCAGTAATGAGATATGAGGGTACATCTTCCTACATCACAGATTCATGTTGCATCTGGCTCAGAAGACAGGAGGCCTCATGACTTTATTGCTTACTCATAATGTCTGCTGTGTGGGAGCAGAAGGGACAGGTGTTGCCACCCCATGCTGCAGCAGTTGGTTTCAGTGTCATTCCTGCACTGGCACAAGCCTTGGCAGAGGGTGAGCCTGGGGGTTTCAGTCACTTTGCTTTACTCTGGTGTGATCTTCCTGGAGCTGTTCTGACCTGCCTGCTATCCCATATGAAACCAGAGCGCTGCTGTGGCTTGGGCTGCCAGGCTGCTGCTTCAGGCTAAACTCATTTATATATTTGTGTCTGAGCTTATTTTTAAGCAGTCTGCAAAAACATTTTTGCAGGTGGGAAGCCTGAGCTTGAGAATTTGGAGCACCTTGGCTGAAATCATCCAGTACCAGTCTTGAGCTCTGTGTGTAGGCCACACTATCTCCAAAATCTCTACCCTAAGAACAACTTAAATGGAAACAAGAATCAAAAGAGTGGGCAGGTGTTACATTTATAGCCAGTACACCTCTGGGAGCCCTGCAGTTGTCTTTGTTCACCATGCTAGAGTGTGTCATGCGAAAGCTACAGCACCCAACCTGTAGCACATCAGAAAATCACTGTGTGTTTTGAGGCCTGTGGTACCTACAAGTGTCATTTTTCTGTACAAGCTGACAGAGGTAGCACTCTGTGTATTGATTTGAACAGGATCCACAGGCTCTTCTTGGGCTGTTTGCACTATCAAAAGGAGACCAAAACTCACCCAGTGCTGAAATGGAACCATTTGTACCAACTTCGTGTGGATGGGAGGTTAGGTATGCAGGGAATTGGTATTGCTTGTTAAGAGTTTGCAGCTCTTGAAAAACACCACCATAGCTATGTCAAATTGGGTTGGTGTGTTGCCTCTCAGGTGGAGAGAATGAAGCTAATTTGAAAACTAATGAAAGTTCAGACATGAAAAGGAGTTTCCCTTGGCTTGCCTGGCAGAAATCAAGCAAAATGCAAAAGTAGATGCTCAAAGTCTGAGAAGATGCTGCCTGGACTGTGGGTTCAGAGCAGGTTCTCAAACGTGTAGTGCTCCTGCTGTGCTTACTGATGTCATTGTTTTTCATGAACAGCAGTTTTAGCTATCCACAGTGTTGTTTTAGGACAAAAACTGCTTTCAGGTTGGTTTGTTCAGTTTCAACTCCCCCCTTCTGGAAAGTTGTGCTGTGAAGACTGACATATCACTATACCAAGTGCATTAAATGACAGCAGTTTGTTTTTTTTTCCTGTGCCTAGATAAGGCTCTTGTATCATGGGGAACTGTTTGTTGCTGTAAAACAACTTAATTTGTGACCCATCAGAGTAGCAGCCTGACATGTGAAACTTTTTACATCATTCTGATTATTTTATGATGCTTGGTGCCTGGAAGAAACAGTTTACCAGTGTTCATTATTGAAAACAATTTGTAAGGACTTAGGAGATCCTGGTGCTAAGACTAGAAAAAATAAACTTGTATAGGAAATTATCAATCTTTTTTTTTTTCTGTCTTGAGAAAGATGGCTCCAACTGTATGAAATATTTCTCCTGACGAGCTCTTTATCACATGAGAAACTCTGATTATTGTAGTGGCTTTAGTGATCTGCATTTTAATTTCTCAGAAGAAAAATGTGTACCATCTGGGCAAATTTCTTTCTTCAGATAATTTGTTTTGTTTGGTTAGTTGTTTTTTGTTTTTTGGGTTTTTTTTTACTATAGATTCAGTAACCTACTTTTTGCAGGTTTTATTCTGTGTTTTGCAAGGTGCTGTGGAGTCTAGAAAGCTGGAATTATTTCCTTATCATTTAGAGATCTTAAAACTAGCTGTTTATTTACAACATTAGCTTTAGGACTGGGGAAACCTTGCTAGAAGATTGGATTTGCTGCCTAGGGAAAAAGTAATGAAAGGGAGCTGTTCCTGGAACAGTAAAAGTGGAGAAATAGGGTTTGGTTTACCATGAGCTCCTGCAGAAGCTCTGCAGGCAGCAGTAGCTGTTTGACATGTGGTCTCTAGAGAAGAATGGGTCCTTGATGCTGTTTTACCCTCACTTGGGGTATTTGCAAGGAGGGGATGGGCCCTGGCTGAAAAAGCTCAGAATTTGTGATGGATCTGTCAGATCTGACTGAAATGGTGTGGTAGTTCTGTGTTGTCTGTCAGGTTTTAGTAATGCTTGTAAGTAGTAACTGTGGGACATCCTGAAGTCTTGTTACATCCATGCTGAGAGCACTTAAAATCCTGAACAGCAGCAGGAGATAACATCCTGAGCCTTCAGAGAGGTGGCTTTGAAGATGACAGCAGTTAGTGTGAAGAATGTGGGGCATATTCTCATTTTTGCACTGTGAATGCTCAAAACTCTATTGAAGTCATATCTATGTTTATGGGCTGAACTGTTCAGCTTTCCAAGTAAAGTCTTCCTTTATTCTCTTGGCATTTAAACAAGATCAGTTCATTCTGCACAAAAAGAGGGGGAGACAATATCCAAACAGTCCTTTTATTTTTTTTTTTTCCTAATGTCCTTTAAGTTATCTCATAGCCTTCTTTACAAGCAATGTCAAGTAAATTCTGATGCCTCTTGGCCACCTCTCCTTTTTGGAGACCAGCCATACACAAATGGTTGCACTTCTGTCTCCCAGTACATATATAATGAAATCTGTCCCTGCAATGAAAGAGACTGAGAAAGCTCCTGAGCAGGAGCAGAGGCTGATTAATACAGATTATTAGAGATTGCTGATGGAAAGGCTGCAGCTGTGATTGCCATGGCAGGGAGAAGGGAGCAAGGTCTTAGTGCTCATGATGTTGTCTGCCAGGTTTTGTTTTCAGTTGATGCTAAGAGATGTTTCTGTGTGCTGTCCTGCATCCCAGAATCAATCACTACACCCGCTGCCCCTCTGTGCTACTTTAAGGGGATGTTACTTTCCTGAACTCCTCCCTAGAGCCATTTGTTTGACTGAGCAGCTGCTCTGACAGGTATGATTTAATTTTGTTCTGTGTTTCTCTTGAACAGGCGACTGCGATGTCAGTGGATTGCCTGGGACAGCGTGCTGTGCTCTCGGGGTGAGTGTGACAGTCCCTGTTGGAAGTGTGACAGTCATTTCCACAAGCCAGACCAGCAGCCTTTAGGCTGACCTTAGCTGGAGGGTTGATGGATTGTTTCAGAAAGGTGCAGCTGCATTCTGTTCAAGGTTTAATGAAACTGATTCTGGGTCATGTTCCCTATGGGATACAGATTGGAGACAGCAACAAGAGCACAATAAAACACCGGTGTGGCTTTCTTGGTAAATTCCTTCCCAAATCCCCATATAGGAGATGGAGCATCATGAAGTACTATTTGGATTGTCTTGAAATACAATTAGATTATTTCCTAACAAAACTTGTGTCAAATATTCCCACGGGGCTGTCTGACCTGCTTCTCTGCTGGTTCAGTGTGGGATGATACTCACAGACACAGTAGGTGCCACAGACTTCCAAGTTGCCCAAGTTTCTGGGAGAGTGTGGTCTTATGTATCCACCTCCAGAACAAGTCTTCAACCAGCTCATCGGTGCCTTTCCAGCTCATGCTTTTCAGTACTAACAGCTATTCCTGTCCCCCTGTCAGTGACACAATTGACACACCAATTAAGATGTTCATTTCAGAATCTTGTGAGTGTAGCTGATCTGTGGTCAGCCTTCAAGGAACCGAGGCCTTTGGTACAGGTTGAAGCAGTGCTTGCTTCCATGTCAACCCTTAGTCTGGCAGTGCTGCACAGGAGTAACAGGAGGAATGGCCAGTGCTCAGAGCAGCTGTATGGTCACTTTGCAGCTGAGAGATGATGCTCATGTGGGTAATTATGTAGGGTTCATTATGTTTTGATGCTGGTCCTCCATAGGGTTCAGCTAGCTCACAATTATTTCTGGGCAGTTTCTCTTGCTTGTAAGATGAATCACACAGAATGATACCTTGCTTTGTGGGGAGTTGGCCACATCCACCATGATGTATAAGCTCAGGTTTGCCACCACGCAGAATTATTTCTGCTGCAAATAGAGTTAGCTCAGGTAAGTAATGGAAACAAATCTGTGCAGGACTGTGTCCACCCACGTTAACAAACTGCTGCAGCTGAACATGAGCTCTGTGCAGGTGTTTCTGTACTGTTGGTGGAACCAAGCCCTCAGACTGGTGTGGAAAGAAGCACCCACGTAGAATCTTTGTCAAGGCTCATTAACTCTTGCTCAGAGCAACCTATCCAGGCTGAAGCTGTTGAATTGCACTCCCAAGCATGTGCCACTTAGGCTCTACTGCTGCAGCATTAGGCCTGCAAAGCCTGTTTGAATGTGTTTGCACCATTTTCCAGAGCTTCCTTTTGTATCCAAGTTGTCTGGGTTTTTCTGCGGTGTAAGGTATCTGACATTTGCAGATCCTGTTTATTTTCAGCGTGTCTTGTCTTTGTTGGGGGGTCGTGGGGTTTTTTTAAGTACATTTTGAAGTAGGTAGTCAAATGTAGTCACTATTTTCAGGAATAATGTTTTCACTTGTCTCATGAAATGCTTCACTTTCACTTCTTGTGCCTCTAGACACAAGGCTGTAATCTCCGTGTGAGCTTGGGGTTTTGAGGTCAGTCCTGTGAGACGCAGCCCCTTTGTGTCTGTGTGTCTTGCAGCCGCCGTTTCCTCTACATCGTCAACCTGGATGCACCAAACGAGGGTCACCGGAAGATCTCCCGGCAGAGCAAGTGGGACATTGGGGCGGTGCAGTGGAACCCCCATGACAGCTACGCCTACTACTTTGCAGCTTCAGTAAGTTCACTCGTTTTAAAAGCTGTAACTCATCGTTTTCCCTGGTCTTTCTTTCATGGGTGAGCCTCTGCAGAGCTGGAAGGCTGTGTGGAGCTGGCACAGACATACTTCTGCAAGTCACATTGCAAGATCAAGGCCTAACTCTGATTTACTGCCAGCGAGGTGTTCTGCTGGATGGCTCTCAGTTATTAGTTGCATCTAGTTTTGCTTGCTTGTCATTTACAAAATGCTTTGCCAAATAAATCAAGCATCCACATGGTTCTTTTCTGGAGGGAAGTGCTCTCTTTCTGATTTCTAGTCTGAGATTTGTGCACTTCTTGAATTTCTTGCTCTTTGCTGTTTTGTTTTCACCTCCCTACCTTGCTGCTTGGCTGTGGTGCACCAGGCAGTCTGTAAATAGCACAGGTCAATACTGGCTTGTAGCTTGGGGTTTGCAGCTGGGTATGGACTGTATGAGTGAGGAGTTCCATGAGGCAGTGGGTTGGGCTGAAGAAGCAGTAATAGCTGTGTGAGACTGAGTGCAGTTTTCAGCTCTGCTCTGTACTTGGTCTGTCATGCTCTGCAGCTTGTTCACCCCAGGCTCTGAGCTCTGCCAATGGAAATCTCGGCCATCACCCACAGCACCGTGGCAACTGGCACCAGCCAGGTGCAGACTGTTTCCAGAGTGAGCTGCCTTTTCTGCTGTGCTGTCTGCTTTTATAACCTGAGAGTCCTGGATTAGCTAGGGATGGAGAAATCTCTCCATCTATTCTTTTGAGAAACACCTAGTTGGAGGTGATTTCTTAGGATTTTTGTTCCTTTTGCTTCCTGGATTTGCTGTTTTTAATTAAAGGCAGTTTTAAAAGTGGACTGGTGCTGTCAGCTGGGACCCTGTTTGCTCTCTGACATTCCCCAGCCTGTCACTTTTCAGCTCTGACACATGACTGATGTCTTAAAGGTGCCTTCAGCAACAGTCTGCTTCTGAGCAGAGAGTTAGTAAAACTGGCAAAAAGGTGTCCTTCATTGCCACTTCGGGGTACAGTCTGTAGAAACCAAAACCAAGTAAGGAAGTGCACTGGGCAGGCCACAAGTGGAGCAGAAAAGCTTATTTTCAAACACACTCTGAAGACAATATCCAGTGATGAGTTCATGCTGATCTGAGCAGGACCCTGCTGCAAAAGGGAGCTGTGCCCATCTCACCCATCTGAGCACTCCTGCCTCTTGCTGCTCTGAATGGATTCAGTGTGGAACAGTTGTTCCACATTGAAACGCGGTGTAGCTGGCATCAAACCTTGCTGCTTCTATTTATAAACAAAGATACAATGAAGATTTAAACATAGTTGCTGACACACACTGGTTGAGGAATCCCCAAGATGAGATCAGGCGGCTTTTTCAGTTTGGATCAAAAATACCACCTTTCAAGCCATTTCACTGTGTTGTAAACAGCCCAAGGGTCTTCCCCTTCTGCATCCCTGTGGATGGAAAAAGGATATAAAAGGCTGCCATCCTGTTTGCCAGCAGCATCTTCTGTTAATTGGAAGTGGTACAGGCAGAGAGGAATCTGTCCTTGTGTTTAGCTTCTTTCCAAAAGAGCTTGAGCAAGTTCTTTTGCTATGCTTGGCTGTGTCTGCCCTGTGGTTCAAGCACATTTTTGGGGACTCCTAAACTGTTGTTTCAGAAATGGTGTTGTTTTCAATCCTAGATCCTTGTTTTTTCTTTTCAGATTCTTGAAGAGGGTGATTAAATTGTTAGAAGTGAATACTGATACTTAACGAAAATCACAGGTTTTTTTAGAAAATGCTCCTGTTGGGAGGAGCAGTCTCTCTGGTGATCATTATCTTGTGTCTTGTCTCTGGAGTCCTGGGTAAATCCCATTGGGTAATTTCAATCTACCCTTTAAATACTTCTGTCAATGGGAAACATGCAAGCAGTTTTTTTTTGCCCTAAGCTATTGTGCAGCCCTGCTGTGAGAGCAGTTAGAGAAATGTCATATATTATTGCTGAGCTGGGATGAGACCTTTTATTTCAAAGAAAACTGTAATGTTTTATCTATCTGCAAGTTGAAATTCACACGAAGCAGCTTTGGGGTAGGAAGAAAATTCACCACCACAAAAAATAACTGCCACAAAAATTGTAATGTAACAGTTGGACTCAGTGCTTTTAGAGGTCTCTTCCAACCTCAACAACTGTGTGTTTCTGCGAAGTCTCTTATCTTTTGCCTCATCTACCTAAAAGTCTGAAAACAAGGGGCTAATGAAAATATTTTAAGGTCATGTTCTTTCAGGTTTTGCAAAATCTGCAAGAATTTCCAGTCATGATCAACTGTGCTTGGCACTCTGCATGCACCCACAAAGGCAATTCCAGTCCCAGAAAAATTAGACTTGGCCTGGCCTGAAGTGAACCTTGATTGAGACAGAACATGAATTTACAGCACAATAACTAGTTTCAAGTAACTTTGCATGTGGCTGCATTTGGGCAAGGTTTTATTCCTGGAATGAGTGAAAGAACCCTGACCAAAGTTGTCATTGATACATCTGATTTGCCATTGTTTTTTACAGGTAGTGATAAACACTTAGAGCTTTTCTCCTGGGCTGGCAAGGATTGGGGGAGTACCCTTGAGGAGGTGTCCTTGAAGCCATTAGACTGTATTGTTTGTGTTTGGCAATGGCCCTGATTATCCCAGAAGGGAACTGAGAGAGAGCTGAGGATAACCAGTGGTAATCCATCATCCCCCTCACCAAAACCTCCACTTGTGAGTTCGACAGACTGACAGGGTATTCCTGCAGAGAGAATTTGTCTGCCTGTTGCCTGCAGTTACAGCATGTTGTTAGGAAATAAAGACTCTGAGAACATAATTTCATGGAAAAAATTTGCAGTGTGGGATTTTTTTCCTCCCTTTCTAGTTTATCTCAAGTTTTAAGTGGGTGTAATTAAAGTGTAAGCTTTTGAAAGTCCTTGCAGCCTGTATTTCATCTTTGCTCTCCTGCTTTGGGCAAGGACTTGGCTAATCACAGCATGACTCATTGTTAACTGAGGTTGTTCAAAGTGAAGGGAACCTGTTCCTAACACACAGATCTGTGTTCTACCTTGTTGGCCTGAGACTGTCTCTCCTTTCTTCCATCTAATTGCAGAGCAATCAGCGCGTTGACCTGTATAAGTGGAAGGAAGGTAATGGGGAAGTTTGCACATCTCTGCAAGGACACACACGTGTGATCAGGTGAAGAGCAAAAAATGCTGTGGTCTGCTGAGTGGAAAATAATGCATTGTTTCATTGAAGCTGAATGTTTTGGTCCTGGCCCTGCTCAGGCTCTGCTCTGAGCCTGTTTTTACTCACTTCTCTGGACTGGACTGCCTTCCCATTTGGTGATGATGTCATGTGTGAAGTGGTTCACCCTCTCATGGCTCCCCCAGTTTATCAACTTAGCCCTTGATAGCTGAAATGTCATTGCCTTAGGCTGCTGTCCTTGTAAAGAGCAGCAGCCATCATCTGGGAAACAGCATGTTTATTAAATTGAATCCCAGCTATGTTTCTGTGTGATAGCAGCTTAATTAAAGCAGGTAATCCCAAAGACCAAGTTAGAGAATGTTACAGTGGTGCAGAGGAGATTTTTGCCTCTTGTTTTAAGGTCGCATTTCAATGCTGGGTTGGAAATGCAGTTGAGGGACTGCTTTTACTCAAGCTCCTAACTGTGGGAAGTATTTGCAGCCCTTGAAATGACAGTTGTTTGGGCTGACTGGAGGCTGTTTGTGTCCCAGGTGCACTTGGTGTTCCCAACAGGGAGGCATCCCAGAGTGAGGAGCTGATGCCAAGGATGTGTGGTTACTGAGAACTCTTTGAGACAGTGTCCCTTTGCCTGGAGGGGAAAGAGCACACACACAGTAGCTGTAAAGTTCAGGACTAGGAGGATGCTTCACTGGAATTTACTTAGAAGCATTTCATTGCTTCTTGGAATTTACTTAGAGAAATTATTAAGATCTTGCTTTTTACTTTAAAAGTTTCAGTAGATGTCATGGAGTTGATGTGAAGTTGTTGGAGAATGTACTGGCAGCTTGTGAAAAGTTGATGCAGCATCTGTGTGCTTTTCTTTGCTGATCTATGATTTTGCATTTGCAGTGACCTGGACTGGGCAGTGTTTGAGCCAGACCTACTGGTCACCAGTTCTGTGGACACATACATCTATATCTGGGACATCAAGTAAGAATCAGTATGTTTCTGCATTTTGGGGAAATCACTAGGACTCTTTTCTGTAATTATCAGCTTGCAGGGCAAAGCACGCCCTGATGGCTGCTGCTCTTTAGCTGTGCTTCCAGGGCCTTCAGCTATTTCCCATTGTCTCCAAGATGACTTCTGCCCCCCTATTTTCAAGCCAGTTCAGAGTCAGTGATGGGCAGTAGAGTGGTACAGTTAAGCTTTAACTGTCTGGCTTCACTCTTTGTCCACTTCAGATATTTCCTTGGGGGCTTTTCCTGGAGCCCAAGGTTGTTCCTCAACCTGCTGGGGTTATTTTAGCTCAGTTAATGAGCACATTTCATGATCCTATAGCCATTTTCTACTAAATTCATTTATTGTTGCTGGTTCTCCCGCAGTGATGGGAAGACTGACAATGGTATTCAGGAAGGTTTTCCTGTTTGTACCTTCCCTTGTTTCCTGGTGTTGCTTTCTGCTATGAGTATTTTCAGGGTAGCAGGTATTTCCAACTATATGTCCAAATCTAAGCCATAGATTTTACACCTGAGAAGCAAGGAGCTGCGACTGGGACTGCTGGGTTCTCTTGCTAGCTCTACAGCTCTTTATGACCCCCAGCAAATCACATTGTTCCTCTCTGCCTCCCTTGCTCAGTTATAATAGGAGGATAATTATATAACCCCACTGCACCAGGCTACCCGGAGGCTTGCTTAGTTCCTATGAACAAGCACTTAGATCCTTGCTTAAATGGTGCTTGAGAATGACAATATATTATTAATGTGTAATTAAAAGACATGGAGATACAATAACTGCCGGTTGTTTTCCTGTGATACTATCTTAATGCCAAGAAGAAAAAGTAGAGATGTCTGAAGGTTGTTAGCAGAACTCCTCCTTTAACTCTATTGTGCCCTTCCATTGTTTTGTGTCTGCCTGTATCACCTGCCCAGAACTGCTTCCTTAGGCAGTCTCTGAAAGCCTCTACATCCCACTTGTGCTGGAAAAGGCTCTGAGCTTGCTGTGCCACTGAGGTGCTGGTGCTGCTGGCCTCCAGCAAATGAACACCCTGCTGAAGTGACTGTCTCTAATGACACCCTAAGGAGGTAGTCCTGCTGTAAGGGCAGCTGGAAATTCCCCACTTAATTTGCATACAAAATAACTTTTTGATTAAGCAGGAATTCTTGGAGGGAGAGGTGCAGTCCATTCCAGAAAATGTTCTGCTTTTCAGCAAACAGAAAAAGCTGAAGACAATATTCCTTATTTTCACTCTTACTTTTCATGGAAGAACAGGTGAAATCCTGAGGAGCAAGGCCAGGAAGTAAGTTATTGCCTTGATCTATGCCCTGGCTGCTAGGAGATGTCATGGTGCCACACTGGTTTCTGCTGCTGCAGAATTTGGTTTGTAGACAGACAGACTTTAGTCTGCACACAGCTGGGCTGATTTTCCACTAATTTTGTTATATGCTAGACATGAAGTTTTTGCTCTGTAGTAACTATTCCATCTGCTTTGAATCAGGATCTGCAAAGGCTCCACAAATACATCCAAGTGGCTTTTGTTGAGTGCTTCCAGAGCTCTGTTTGTTCCTTTAATCCTCCTTGGAAAGATTGTTTTGTTGCTTCCCACAGCAACAATTCATGAGCCCTGTTTCCTTGCCTACCCAGTTGCAATATGCCACACTTTGTGTATGTTTCTCCTCCCTCTAGTCCAGTCCAACTCTGTCTTCTGTCTTAAACTTCTTGCTGCATGTGCTGACAAGACAGGATTGTAAAATGGTTTGGGTTGGAATGGACCTTAAAAATCTAGTTCCATCCCTGTGCCAAGTGCAGGTACACATCTTCCAGTAGACCAGGTTGCTCCAAGACCCATCCAGCCCGGCCTTAAATACTTCCAGGACAGTTGTCCTCCAGCTGGTCACCTTTATTCCATTTAATGCTGGTGTATTTTGGTAAGCAGGAGGTACACTAGGTCTGAAGGCAGCAATAACCTTAGTGCTGGAATAGCAGGGAGCTCGCTGGGAAGGCTGGACTGTGCTGTGTGTACTTACAGTGGCCACATTGTATTTCAGAGACACCAGGAAGCCCACGGTCTCACTCTCTGCAGTTGGTAAGTCTGATGTGTGTGATGTAGGCATTAAACAACATTATTGTTGCATGCCCCTACCCTTATTCCTCCCTCCCTTCATGCTCCAAGGCCAGGCTTGGCAAAGTGCAGGAGTGCCACCATGTGTGATTGTCCCATGTAGGAGCAGCCTGAGAGGCTCCAGTTCACTTCTGTTAGAGAAGCAGAATCCAGAAGAGATGTGGAGCCCCTTGAGGTCCCCAGGCATGGTACTTGGAATTGCTGCCCTGACATTGGTGAATGGCCACATAGAGCTTCCTCCCTGCTTAACCACCTTGCTGCACTGCTTGTCCTGGGTTGCCTGTCTGTAATTTTCTCATGTCCTTTTATGTTTGATTGAATCAGACGAGGAACTAGACCATACTCCAAGCAGCTCTCTGTGCCAGCCTGTCCCCTCACTCACTCAGGGTTGGATACAGCAGCTGGCTGTATCTGCTTCCCTGGGGCACCTGCAACATGCAGGGAGCACATAAGGTGCTGTCTTTGGGCTGTGCCTTCTCTGGAAAGGCTCTTGTCCTGACTGCTGGCAAGGTGTGTGTCCAGCCCCTGCAATACCACCAGCAGGGGTATGCATGTCTGTCCTCACTGGCTGGAGCTGGGACTGGGCACGGATGATGAGCAAAGTGTCCTTTCCCTGAGTTACTGTCCCCATTACTGGAGCAATCCTCACAATGTGTAACTCTCATACTCTGCTGCTTACATCTCCTTTGGCTACACATCTGCAGCAGCTCCCATTCCCCTCCCAGCCAGTAAACCTCTCTGTCACAGAACTGCAAAAAACCTTACTGAGTCAGAGAGAAGCAGTGGTCAGTTCTGATGTCTGGGGTGAGGTTTCACGGCTGAGCCAGCCCAGCAGCCTGCTCCCCAGAAAGCTTCCTTGCTTCCTTCCTCCCTCCTGTGCCTGCTGCTGTTTAATGCTGGTCCAGACATTTGTGTACCCTTCAGTGAGTGGATCAAATCAATCAGCTGGCAGTCTATTTGCAGCTTTTTATCCCCCAGAATAGCTTTTTGCCAGGTTGTCAGGATGAATCTGCTCACCATGCAGCAGGAGGTGGGTAGTGGAGGTGGGGAATAGCAGCAGGCTGAGATCTGTTTAGCTTTCTCATGGATCTCACCTTTTTGATAGCTCAGAAGGTTTGAAAATACTGTCAGAATATGGATGAACAGATGCATTATGCTTACAACACCTGAACGATCCTCATTAACTGAAGCTGTACTTTGTTTCTATTAGAAATAACCACCCATCATCTGATTTGACTGAGTCCCTCTTGATACCACATATAAGTCATATCTGGACCATCATCCAGTTTCTTTACACTGTTATTGGTGTCTTTGATTTCTCTGGTATATTTTGACAGATAGACCTTCTGGTCCACATCTGAGCTAATGGACATGAGTATTCTAATCAGGTACAGCCCCTGGCTAGAAGATGCGATAGAGATCTCTAGGCATGCAACTGGAACACTTTGCTGTCCTGAGGATACAAGTGATACATGGAGGAACCAGGAGTTAATAATTTTCATGCCATCCTTCATGCTGGCTTCTGGGATATCCTTCCTCTGACCTGCCTTTCCTAGGCTAAGAGCAGCTCTAGGCCCAGGCAGTGGGACTACTGTGCCCTTTTCTCTTTAATTGCTTGATTTGGCCTGCTTTGTTTGTGCTGCAGCTGGAGCTTCCCAAGTGAAATGGAACAAGAAAAATGCCAACTGTTTAGCAACAAGCCACGATGGAGATGTCCGAATATGGGACAAAAGGGTAAGCTGAAGGATTTTTGAGCAGTCTGTACATACTCCCACATACCCGATACCTGTATTGGTGACAGATAATATCTCTGGTGACAGGTAAATACTGAGGAAATGTACTGCTTTATCCCAGATCTCTCTTTCAGGTCAGTTTAAACTAGAGAGAATTGGGAGTCCAAGAGCCTGAAGAGAGTATCTAGTTATCCTCCTTCCTCAGAGACTGTGCCCATTACCATTTTCCTTTTGATCTCATAGTACTTAACTGTTGAACTGAGTATTACGTATGGTTAGGGCTGCACTTGGTGACTGGTATTTGCCATACCTTCACAGAATTTTTCTTCAACTACTTCTGCTGAGCTATTTGCCGTTCCCCAGCAGGGGTGGTTGTTCTAACTGCCTTGCCCTGGTTAAAGTCTCTTTTTATGCCAGAAGAACTAGACCAAATTTTAGGTGTCTATGCTGAGAAGGACAGTGTCTCTCCTTGCAGAAACCCAGCACTGCAGTGGAGTATTTGGCAGCTCATCTCTCCAAAATCCACGGTCTGGACTGGCATCCTGACAATGAGTATACACTGGCCACTTCCAGCCAGGACAACTCTGTCAGGGTAAGTCTTGTTTCTGCAGTTCCTGCTAGGAAGTAGGAAAGATGGTGGAGCAGATCCCCTTCTGCTGCTGCTGAAGTTTTGGGAAGTGCTTTACTATTGGCAAGATCTGGATCTTTATTGTTTGGTTTCTGGCCACCTGGTGTGTTGCACTTTGAGAACAGGCAGAGGTGTCATTGAAGGATGGGTGCACATACGTTTGCCACATATCTGTGGAGGTTAGGGCAGTATTGAAGCTGAAAACAACTGTCTCTGCCTGTTGCTTGCCAGAAAGGAACAGACCACACATGCCAGAAGAGCCTTTTTCCAGAAATGCATGTTGCCAGCCTCAAGCTGATTATAGCATCTTGAGGGGAGACATACTTCAGCCCCTGGAGTTTCCAAACTCATGTTGAACAGGATTATCAATAAGAGACTGCCTGCAAGCACTGCTGTGCAGGGCCTCTTACTTGTGGGGAAATAGTGTGCTTTGTATTCCAGCCAAATAGAGTTAATTCACGTTGAGCTAAGCTCTAAGGCAAATGCAATTGATGTGTATTCTAGCAAAGCAAAAGGTTAGATTCTTCATTAGAAAATTAGCAGTAACAGCAGGGTAGGCTTGCCTCCAGCCTGGACTGGCATGTTGGCTGGCAGCCTGCAGGGTACCTTGTAGCTCTGAAAGCCCAAGCAGGCTGCCTGTCTCCCTGCTCTAATTACTCAAGCTATGATCACTGTGAATATGACCCCAAAGTCACTCATTTTCTAAGGGATGCTGCCAGATGCTGATAGCTTGGTATTTGTCCTTTGGGGCTGTCTCTGTTGTTAATGAATGGGATTACTAATGATGCTGTGGGCACCCTGGCATGCTGTTTGGTCTGTTCTATCTGCAAGCCACATGGAAAACTACAGCCTGAAAGTATAACCAGCTGACTCCTGCCTTTGCTTGCCTTTCTCTTGGTTTGTTCTTTTTTTCAAGTTCTGGGATTACCGTCAGCCTCGGAAATACCTCAATATCCTTCCCTGCCAGGTTCCTGTCTGGAAGGCAAGATACACGGTCAGTGAGAAACTCCCACCATTTCCACTTGTGCTCTGAGAAGAATGCACAAAGAGACATTAAATAAAGAACTGCCATAGGGTTTCTCTCCAGTTCTACTTGTGCACATTATTAAGTTGATTTTAAAAATCATTCTTGGTGCCTATAAGGTGTAGAAAAGCAGTATCCACAATGGGGGCATTCAGGAGGAGTGAGCGAGTGCCCACCCAAGTGAAGCAAAGGCTCTTAATATCAGTCATAATCCCCAAAGATCTGAACATGGCCTGAAGCCAGTGCTGTGCCTTGAATCTTGATCCCCTTTCCCTGTCCAAACTGAGGGGTATAAGACTGGTTTCCATGTTCCTCTGAGCATCGTGGAGCTGCTGGGACTCAGTAGTTCTTGCAGCTCCAGGCAGATTGCAGTAAGGATTCCCAGTGAAAAGTCAGTGGTGAAATCCCTCCAGCCTCACAGATGAAAAGTGAGGAAGCAGCAGAAAGAAGTTAACTCATCTTAAGTGAGCTGCATTGAGTATCTCAGTGTATTGTATCTTATCCCTTTAAACACAGTGGTTTTGCACAGCAATTGCCTTGCACTTTCCCAGGTTTTGGCCTGGTTCTGTTTTGTGCTGAGCTCATTTAAAGCCTTTGCATTTGTGTTGGTGGGAATAGGGGAAAATGAGAGTATGATAATAGCAGCATGGAAACATAACTCTCCTTGGCTAACTGGAAGGGTGTTTCTCCCTAAGCCTTTCAGCAATGGACTGGTGACAGTGATGGTCCCCCAGCTCCGTCGGGAAAACAGTCTCCTCCTCTGGAATGTCTTTGACCTGAACACGCCTGTCCACACTTTCGTAGGACATGACGATGTGGTGCTGGAGTTTCAGTGGAGAAAGCAGAAAGAAGGTGAGTTGGGGTTGAATGTGCTGTCTTCCCTACACTGTGGCTGTCAGATAACCAGAGGTGTGGAGACCTGGCTCCTGGTTGCAATGCTGTTGCTTTTTGACTCTTGCCTCTCCTTGAAGTAGCTCCTGCTTACTTCCTGCCCCACACTGCCTCCCTCAAACTACAGCTGTTCTGTACTGGTTTTATGACAGTGCTTACAGAAGCGCTGCCTTGTTTCCATGCTAACAAAGCAAATCTACCAAATGCTGAGTGGGTCAGTGGTGACTTTCATTGCTTTCACTCTCCTGGGAGTCTCTTTGGATCAGCAGCCTCCAGCATATCCCAGACCACAGACCCAGCAAGCACACCTTATTTGTCTGCTGCAAGACAAGGGGGGAATAATGGGGACAGGGAGTCTGCTGTTAGAGTTCAGTCCTGACTAAATTTTCTAGTGTAAGCAGCTAAGAATAGGAGATTCCATACCAGAGGTTGCATAACCACACAGAGCACAGCTTTGTTTCCAGCACCTCAGCTGCCACTGACAGAATGTACATGTCTGGCTTTGGTGTCATTTGTGCTACAGCTTTGCAGTGCTGTGTGAAAGTGCTGGTCCAGGCCTTTCCCACCAGCTGCTGGGGCCATTCAGTTAAGTCACCTACTTCTCCATGACTTGATTTTTCTCTTTCAAAAAGAGGAGAGCAGTGGAGAGCTGTGTTAGGATCTGGAGGCACAGACTAAGATAATTTGTGAATGAAGATTGAAGCAGGCTTAAGCTACAGTTGGTTGTCTTAGCTGCTTTAATAGATACATACTCAGGCTTGGATTTCTTGCTTGTCTCAAGCAACATAAATCAATCACACAAACATTCCAAGTCTGCTTCAGTGTGGAGACAACCAAGATAGCACAGATTTCCTTCCACAGAGGCTGTTGTGCTGTATTTAGACAGCCCCTGTGCCTCAGCAGAGGGGTGTAGGAAGCAGCTGTGCAGCAGCAAATTCTTAAGCATAGCAGCTGTTTGACAAGGGAAACTTAAAACTCTATCACAAGACCTAAACATGGACATAAATAGGTCTGTGTACCTCTCCCTGTTGATAGGTAGTATGTGGTTAGATCTATTTCTTCACAGCCTGAACTTGGCATCATCCAACTTTTTTCAGAAGCAAGAAGAGGAAGGGCAGAACCACCTTCTCATTGCGTAGAAATGTTTTAAAACTTCTGACTCTTGAAACAGATTTTATGAACTAAAAGATATTTTCACTTTACAGTTATAGTTGAGAAACATTTATTTTTACTATACTATTTCTTCTATTTAAATAAACATTGCTGTGGGTCTTGTTTATTCTGGTTGTGTCACATTCACTGTACTTGGTGCTTTTGGGCTTGTACATCACAGCCTGTTTAGATGTATGGTAGCTGTGGTGTGAGAAGGCACAAAGGCTAATGTCAATTTGAAGCTGAAAAGGACTTGCTCTGCCTTTCAGTTTAGTGCCTTATCCATTGGATGTGCCTGCTGGCTTGTTTGAATGTGTTTACACTGAACACAAGGCTGAGATAGTCTCTGTTTTCTGGTGGGGTCTCTAATTGTTTCTGTCCTCTTTAGGCTCTAAAGATTACCAGCTGGTTACGTGGTCGCGGGATCAGACCCTGCGCATGTGGCGGATTGACTCTCAGTTGCAGAGGGTACGTGGACACTCTGCTTCTTGAACCATAGACACTTTCCTGACAGCCTGGATTCACCTCCCCTTCCTTGCACTCACAGTCACTCCTCTGGTATCATAAAACTGCAGACACAGAAGCCAGCTGCTGCTTCACTTTCCTCTTCAGCTCCAGCCCAAAAACATCCCCAAGGAGATATGTGATGATCTTCTCTTTTGAGCCTGTGTCTCTAAAGTTTCAGTGGCTGTGCAAGGCTGCTTTGTTGTGTAACATTAAGTGCAGAAACTTGTTTGGAGGAGGTGGAGAGTAGTTACTGCCTGCATTGTCTCTAAAATGGCATGTCCCTGGCTGCAAGACTGTATTTCCTGGTGGTTTAGGTGCCAGGTAAATGTAGGGATTGTGCCCTCCTCTACCTCCCCTTGTGTCCATTGCCTCTAAGTCTGCGGTGGGTGGCGTGAGTGTGTGGATCTGCAGCAGTTACAGATTCTGATGCAATTACTAGAACAGCTGTGCTGGCTCGTACCAGAGGTTCATATGGCCATAGTGGGCCACATGGCTCTGTCACATCTTCAGCTGATATCTTGGGAGGGGATAAGAAAAAGGCAGGCATGAAGTGATGTTTCTCTCAAATGCCCTGCCAGCCTCCTGCAGCTGAGAGGCTCATTGAGTCTGGTATCTCTGTATTTGATAGAGCTTGATGAGTGTCACTTCCAAACAACAAGGAGTTTCATGGCTTTTCTGCATGTTATGTGGAAAACCAGCTAATTTGTTTATTTTGCCACCTAATTTCATTCCACTGAAGATGAAATGAGCCATATTCTCTGTGATACTGATGATTCTGTAGGCCTCCATCATATCCTTCTCAGCTGCGTCCTTTTTCAAGTCAAAAGGTCTTGATTTAATCCATCCTTTGTACTAGAACTTTGATTGTCCTTTTGCCTTTCACGACCCTTTTTCAGTCCTAGTATATACCTTTGGGGATGGGGATCTGAGCTTTGTTCTTTCCAAAGAATTCTCAGTACTCAGTTTAGTTTGTAAATTGTTTGGCATAATTCCATGAAATCATCAGCTTAGTCTTGCTTCTACATCTTGTTCCCTCAGCTTGAACTTTCAGCTTGAAATTTTTCCTGATGTATGTTGCTTTATATTTATCTGAGCCAAAGTTCATCTTTCATTTTAATACAGTTGCTCTTGTGAGGTCCTTCTGTGATTGTTTGCCGTCAGCCACACTTGTTACTGCCCTGAAAAACTTGGTGGCATCAGCAAACCTGGTCATGTCGCTATTCACCTCCTATTCCAGGTTTTTAATGAATATGTTGAGAAGCATGTGTCCCAGCACAGATCCTGCAGGAGTCCTGCAGGTCTGTAACAAACTTTCTCTGTGAAAAATGACCCTTTACTCCTACCTGATATATTTGTGAACATTTGATTTCTTTTCTGTCTTTAAATCAATTGTTCATTCATGTTAGAGCCTTTATTTTTTCCTATACTGGCTCTCACTCTTTGTCCTCATCTTTGTCTGGATCAAACTACACACATGATGGCATGTTGCTGGTGACCAATGCTGTAATTTGCTACATCACACCATTATCCTTTCTTTCCCCTTCATCTTCCCAGTTTTCTTGTGCTGAACTTCAAATCCCGGGTTTTATAGTCTCATTTTGATACAGGACCTAGAACAGTAGGACCCTGTGTATATACCTGCGTCTCTGGATCCTACTGGAGTGTAAATATCAAATGCAGAAAGTGTGCTACTATTAAATTAGATCTAAAAAATTAAACATGTTTTAACAAATTCCAGGAATTGAAGCAATATCAGTTTTAGTTTTGACTAAAGGTAAACCTCTATTTCTTAGGCTGGCCCTGTCAATTAAGTGGCTTTTGAAATGAGCAGTAGATTTGGCCAGGCTGTCTGAGGTGACAGAGTTGAGGGTACTGGAAAATGAAAGATGACCTATCTTTGTCACAGGAACAATGCAGTCTTAGTCATGACTGTTGTGTGGATAGACCCACCTTGCAAATCCATCTGTGTGGAGAAGTGAGTTGTTTAGTGGTGGCTCTTCCCACAACTTGGATTCTGTTGCGCAGCATGTGGGTGTGTTTGTTCTTTTCAGCTCTGTGCTAATGATATCCTGGATGGAGTTGAGGACCTCATTGATGGGATTTCTCATCTGCCAGAGCCAGACAAGACCCTTCACCCCCAGGACACGGAGCCCCAGCATAACTCTGGACATGGGGATGAAGAAGGTGAGACAAGTGATGGCTTGTGGAACCTCAAACACCAGCATCTTTGGGTTGGGAAGAAGATATATCTTGGCATAAGAAAACATAGGCAAAACACAACCTGCCACTGCATCAAAGGTTAATGGATTCCTCATCAGGGAGGAGGAAAAATTAGGAGTTCCTCAGGATGTTGCTTCTAAGGTTTTTGTCTTCTAACACAATGATTCTAGCTGTAAAATAAAGCTCTTCCTTGTCATGATTTTCATTTAATTGCATGCTCTTTAGGTTGTTGTTGTGGCTTGTGTGGGCCTGGTTTCCATGTGGTTTCTTCTTTGGTTCAGACTTTCTTCTTTGGTTCTGTGGCCAAAAGAAATGAATATGGCTCTTCTGTATCAGGGTAGATTTTTCTGCAAATAACATGACTGCAGGATTAAGGCACAAGCAAATCCCTAGGTAGGAATTTCAGTTCTTTCTAGCCAAAAAGCTATTGTGGACTGTTGATGTTTCACCCTGGGGGTGGCTGCATTTCAGCTGCAGACAAAGCCTCCATGTTACATTAGTAAAGCACTTTGGGGGATCTTTTGAAGAGATCAGTGCTCTGCAGGTGAATGAGAGAGCCCCGGCTGTGCCTTCATGCACAGCTCTTGCTGCTGCTTATAGAGGAGCTTTAGGAATCTGTACAAATGTGTGGCTTTGGAGGATTAAAAACTAATTGGAAAGGAATGGGAGGAGAAGACAAAGGGAGGGTACTGCCCATACTGGGAACCTCAGAGATGGCTTTTCAGTAAGCTATGTGGTGTCTTGAGCTAGAAATAATTATCTTCCCTGAGAGCCACTGATCTTCCTTTAATCTCCTTTTCAGCTCCCGTTTCTGGAATATATCTAAGCACTGTAATAGAATTGCAAACAAGAATGATTGGCTAAGCATCCTACCTATCCAAATCCAGCAACCCATTGGGTAGTGGCAATACCAGATATTTGTCCCTACCAAAGTCAGTAACTTCTCGGTGAATGCCTGTAAAAGGTCAACTTCTTGCATTTTTTAAAATTTGTTTATTTTTGCTGGGAATCATCTGTGCAACATGATATTGCAAATGTGAGAATGACAGCTGAAAAATTAGGACTTCCCTCCTTGTCCCTGGAACCATAATAAAATATATTTGGCCTTCTTAAGAAGTGGTGCCACAGCAAAACACCCTTATGGAGCTACACAGCAAGAAGCAAGGCAAAAGCCAAGCACAACTACAGGGAGAGACCAATTCTTCTGAAACTCAGTGAAGTTTGTTATCTTAACCGTAATTCTTTGTGTCCTGCAGTGCTTGCCTGCCTGTTTAAATGTGTTCTGGCCTTCAGGGGTTATTGTCCTCCTAAAAACTGCTGGAACTGTAGAGTTAGACACAGTATTTTGATGAGTCTTTAAAGGCTGTTAAAGCACTAGAGTGCTTTGCAACATTAAGTGCAAATGTCTGCTGCAAATGAATTAAGCTTCTATTAGGACCAGAAATACTCCCTGCTCTCTCCCAAAGCATTGTTATGCTTTGGAAACTTTCCCTGAAAGTCAGGAATGGTGGATTGTTAGTCCCAAAGACCAGAGCTCCTTCTGGAGACTGCTAGGGCTGCAGTTCTTTCCTGCTGAACTGAGACGCTCCAGTTCAGCTGATCGTGACTCTGGCAGCACTATGTAGAGAGGGAAAAGGGTCTCACATGAGAAGGGAAGGACCATTTAGGACTGTACAGAGTACAGGCAGGTTCTGTACCCTTCCTGGGAACCCTGTCTGCAGACAGCTTTGGATTTTTGAAGAGAAGGGTCAGAAACTTGCATCCAAACAGCAACTGAGACTCTCCAGCTGACAGGTCTTCGGTAGATAAAACTCATACCTCCATGTGTCAGAAAAGCAGAGGAAAGCCTGCTGTCTTGGCTGCCTTCTGACATCATGTGAAAAACTCTGTGTGTTATAGCTTGTCTGAACTTGTTTTCCATCTTTCCTGTCAGCCCTAAAAGAAGATTTCCTGAATGACCCCCTGGTGGGAAAGAAAACGGACCAACTGGGGCTGCCTCAAACACTGCAGCAGGAGTTTTCACTGATCAATGTGCAGATCCGAAATGTCAATGTGGAGGTACAGAGTTTCCTTTTGCTGGCTTGTTAGGAGGGAATGTGGGCAGGCTGGCTTATTGGAGCCTTTCAAGGGGAGCCTTCTTTGCTGCAGTGACTGCTGTCTGTAAACAAGTTTTATTTTGAGCTGTTGAGATCCTCTTGGCCAGGGGTAGTAAGAAAGAGGATAATCCCAGACAGTGCTGTGAGAGAAATGTTTCAGCACAGTAAGTACTCTGGCTGATCTTGAGAAGGCTGGATGGTGTTTTTTTCTATGCCTAGACTGTGGAGTGGAAGGTGGCTTGTTCCATGCAGTTGATCTCATTTCAACTGCTTCTGAATCCCATCTGCTGAGCCCTCCGTATTCTGAGCTCTGTCCCTCAGTTTTGCCCTCTTCCTTGCACTCCAGACTCTCCTCTGTGCATGGAAGCTGACTGGAAGCACAGCACTGAACTGGGCTGGGAGGCTCGAGGCAGCTGCCTGTCTCCTTTCCCCAGCCCTGTGGTTTCACAAGTCATGGCATGATCCTGATGTAGTTTTCTGAGACAGTGGTGCAGGATCTTAGAAGATTCCTGTTACTGCTGTGCTGGCCAGGAGCTCTCCATGACCAAGTGAAGTGGGCTGGGGTGCAGTGGCTGCTGGGAGCAGGACCCCTTTCTTGGTGACACCTGGGCTGGCCATGGTCTCTGGATGCTGGATGTCAGTCTGCTGGTGTGAGCTGAGCCTGTCCCCATCTGCCTGGGGGTTTTGCTGTCACTGTGCTCCCTGCCCTTGAGAACAGCATGACTTTGTCTTATGTGCAGAGGAATCAGTCCCTCAGCATGAATTTAAGCCACTATAAGTGTAAAAGTCCTGGGAGAGCTAACTAAAAGCCAATTGCTTTTCCTCACAGATGGATGCAGTGAGTCGCAGCTGTACGGTGTCGGTGCACTGCGGCAACCACAGAGTCAGGATGCTGGTGATGTTCCCTGTCCAGTATCCCAATAATGCTGCACCATCCTTCCAGTTCATCAACCCAACCTCCATCACGGCTTCCATGAAGGCAAAGCTGCTGAAGGTGTGTAAGGAGTATAGAGTGTCTTTATAAATGTACAAGTGATGGATACTTGCCGTCTGGATTTTCGAGACATAACTAAACATCAGACCTTGCTATGAAGACATACCACAGCTCATGTTGAACTGATAAATTGTGAAGCCCATAGGATGGGGTTTTTGTTTGTGCTGCAGCCCAGTATTTGCCTTTTTCCACTGCTTCTTCATTGCTGCTGTGTTCCAGTGTGATATGTATTGCCTGAGGATCCCTAACATCGTTCTCCTCATGCAGTTGCCCTCAACCCAATAATAGACAAAATGACCAACTAAGCATCCAGCTGCAAAGTGCTACTATTTTTGAGCCAGGATGTTGCTTACTGCTCTACTACACAAGCTGCTTTAAAAATGAGGGGATTTTTTTTTTACACAGGCCCTGCTAATTCAGACCAGGTGTTTGATCATCTATTGTAGCAAATCCTACTGCTATTGAAATCCTTTCTCCAGCAACATTGATGGATCAGTTTGGGTTTCTTCCTGAAAAAACCTGATCCAGTTTGCCACAAGCTGCTATGAAACATATGGGCTGCAGTAATATTGAAGCCTAAATTGTGGCTCAGTGTGCTACTAGGTGAACTTCAGTGCTCTGATCAAAGCACACAGCCATTCCTCAGAGCAGACAGCACACCAGTGACTCCAGTGGATGATAGGGGATGTCTGTGACCTGTTCAGGTCCTGGCATCTAAGCTGTTCTGCAGACAAAAAGAATGTGGGCAAAGTGTGGAGGTAACTATGAATAAAGTTGTGTTTTGCACGTATTCCAGATACTGAAGGACACTTCCCTGCAGAAAGTGAAGCGGAACCAGAGCTGCCTGGAGCCTTGCCTGCGTCAGCTGGTCTCCTGGCTGGAGTCTGTTGTGGTATGGAGAAATGCGTGGGCTCTCTGCCCTAGTTTGATGTCTTTTCCCATGTCCCACACTTCTGACTCTGCAGTGAGAGTCTGGCCTTGTTAAATGTGTAAATAGACCCCTGTGACTGGCCATTACATTTGTGTGAGCACTTCTGGTTAATATTGAAGAGAGCTGGCGGATGATTAGATGTGTTTTGTTTTCCACAAATGAGGCCATGAAGGTTTGCTTTGGGGAACTCTGATATCCAGGTTACCAGGAGTGACTGGAGATCGGAGAATCTTAGTGGTGCATGGTACTTCCCAGCTCAGAATATATTTCACTGACTGCCAGGGCATAGTTATCATCTGTGAGAGAAGATAAGAGACCTCAGGTTGTTGATGGATTCATTCTTGTCTGAAAGGCAGTGGCAGATATCTTCACCTCCTCAGTTTTAGTCAAAGATCCTTCTAGTCCTATTCTAGGGTTTTGGTTGCCTCCCCGAAAAAAAAAAAACCCAAACTGTGAAAATCTGGGGTTTTTTTCTGCAGCCTTGTGCTGAGGTTTTGTAGGGATGATACTGCAGATAAATCCAAGTCACACTCTGCTCTTAGCTGTGAGATCTGTGATACCTACTCAGCATCCCAGTGTCAGGTATTAGGTCTTTGTGTGGGTGAAGTGTACTGGAGTGGGTGTTTTTAGCATTCCGGAAAAGAGAGGAGAGTCTCCTCAGGTTTCTTTTCTGAGAGGTTTTGTTTATTCATCACAAATAAAGGGCTGGGGTTTTTTTACATGCGAAGTCTTAATTCTGCTTGGTTTCAGCAGTAATATTGTAAGAGTGGGAACTTTCTCTGCTGTATGGAAATCTGATGACTTGAGGCACCACTGCTTTCAAAGAATTCTTTTAGACTGAAGTTGTAGTATTAGATATCCAAATAAATGCAGATTTCTGGCAAAGTTCCTGTGGATAGTCCTGAGGTCCCCCAGTAATTCATGCCACCTACCTTCCTTACTTGAAAACTCCAACCTGTGTTTGACAGCCCACAGCTCTGTGGTATTCCCACTCAAAGAGATTTTGCGCATCATTGAGGTATCATACTCAGCTCAACTAGCTGTCTTGAGCATCATATCCAGAGTTTGAAGGTCAGATTTTCTGTATAGTTTCCTCCTTTTCCTCCCCAGGTTAAGCTCTGCATTTCAACATGGTTATGGTGGGAGAGAAGTCTCTGGACAAGCAGCCAGAGAAGGTTTTTCCTCAAAGGCAAATGTGTCTGCAAGTGCCTCTGCAGTTGAAGCAGCAGCCGTGCTCTGAGCTTGGTCTGTTTTGGCTCAAAAGATGAGCTCCTCCTGTGAGGCTGCTTGGCACTGCCGTGTCCTATGCTCTGGCTGGATTTCTCTCCTGTGGCAGCAGGAGTGTGACCTTAGGTAACTTCTGTTTCAGAACCAAGAGGACAGCACGTCCAGCAATCCCTACGCTTTGTCCAACTCTGTAACACCCCCCTTGCCCACGTTCGCCCGCGTCTCCAATGCCTACGGCTCCTACCAGGACTCGAATGTCCCATTTCCACGGACCTCTGGAGCCAGGTTCTGTGGTGCAGGTCAGCCCTGTCACTGATACTTAAAACAGGTACCCAGGGAACAATCCTTTTAGATGTTTTGGGGAACACTTGGGTCTGAACAAGATGAGGCTTTGCTCATTGCCATGCAAGGAGTTAAAGTTGTGATAATGGTGTTAAAGTAGTGATACTGTGATAAATTTTGAGATGAGACTAGTTAGCAGCTGTTTGAAGTTGGGGTTGCATATGGGGCTTTAGGATTTGGAAATGCAGGGCTAGCTGAAGAGATAACCTTTGGCTTATGGCATGCAAGAGACGTTGACAGATCTCTTTTTATAGAACACTGGGAATAGCTGTTTTCCTTGCCTAGTTCTCTGCTACCAGCATCACATTACTGGGTGTATTCTGGCACTCAGTCTTCACAAAATTCCTGTGATTTGGAGTTGAATTTACCCCTTGCTGAAACCATATTCACATTACTAACCACTCTTTTCTCATTCTACACTCTTCCACTTGTCCAAAATAGCTTTCCCAAGGTCATTAAGAAACTTCTCCTAAATGGGAGATGGGGTATAATCACATCCAGGTTTTCAGGAGAGCATGTAGAGGATAAAGTTCATTAGAAACCAGGTTAAGATCTGAGTAAAAGCTGTTAAGTTTCACTGAGCTGTTTCAGATGCACACATGCCTTCTCTGGACCTGACTGCATCCCAGTGTGAGCACATTTTGAAAGCTGCTTTCCATACAGGCCTCCCTGAATTCCCAAGGAAAAGTAAAACAGAATAATACTGCATTGAATAGACCCAGTAAAACCTGCTAAATCCTGAAAGGCTTGCAAGAGTAGGTGGCTGAAGACACTTGAGAGGCTAACAAATGGGATAAGGCTTGTGAGAGAATATTTTGGAGTTGGCTTCAGGTATGTGGGGCTCTCCTGCTGAAGAAGAGAGTTTTACAAGCTGCAGTGGTTTCTCTGCGTTGCCAAACATTACCTCACTTATCTCTGGAGTAACAGTGCTTAGCAAGTTCTGGTGGAGACTTAAAACATGAGCATGCATTTGCTCATTTTATTTTCCTGTCTTTTCTCTAACAGCTATAAGTCACTTGAAATTGTGCTTTTGAGAGAAACATCTTAAAAACCCCATGCTTTGTAGTGGGTTTGCAGGGAGTTGATTTGGGTTGAGAGAACGTCTGCTTTTAGTTTATAATTACTAAGAGCAGTGGATAAGAACAAATTCCCTTGCCTCTGATACACAGAGAAATCTGGTCATTTAAGTTGAACCACCCCTAGCAATTTACTCCTTGTTGCATGATCTTTATGCCACATCCTGTCTCTTCAGGGTACCTGGTGTATTTCACAAGGCCGATGACCATGCACCGTGCCGTGTCCCCGATGGAGCCCACACCCAGGTGAGGGCCCTGTGTGGTTTGAGGTGTGCTGCTGTCATGGGCAGGAAAGCAGGAAAATACCAGGTCCTCCATTGGACCTAGTCCCCTCCAGTGTTAGCTGTGTCCTCAGCACAGAGCGCCTGGGCCCTTACACCACATGGCCAGAGCAGAGACTTCTTTCCAGACAGTGGCACCATTGCTGGCAGTTTGGGCTGGTGGAGAGGTCAGTGTGAGCCTGCAGGTTTTGGTGGGAAAAGCCCCTGAAAGTGTATTATTCCCTTTCTTCCAGGTCTCTGTCAGCTTTATCAGCATACCACAGTGGCCTCATTACTCCAATGAAGATCCGCACGGAGACTCCGGGCAACCTGCGCTTGTACAGTGGGAGCCCAACACGCAGTGAGAAGGAGCAGGTCTCCATTAGCTCCTTCTACTACAAAGAAAGGGTAAGTACTAGACCAAAACACTGCTCCCAACACTTCAACTTTCATGATCTGTTTTCCTTTCATTTAGCATTGCTAGTAACAGAAGTTTTTGTATTCCTCTCAAAAAAACATCTTTCTACAGGCAGCTCTGTCAAATGGATTTTTCTCCTATTAGTAACTTCTTTACCAATCCTCTCTAGAATTTGACCTGCTTATTTTGATGTTTCTGTATGCTGACCATCACAGTTCCCTTCAGTGCATTATGCTGTCTTCCTTTGCATTATGTAGGGTTAAAATCTCACCCTTTAAGAAGTTGTAGTCTTCAGATAGGTACATGTAGGCAGCTTTTGCTGTTCTGGGTACTCCCTGATATATATAACTGCAAAGGGTTGTGCCTCTCTGCAGCTTTCTGCCAACCTCTCCTGGACTATGGGATGTGGTTGGTTATTTCTATTTCAGGTGTCTCTTTCAGGGATATGTGCCCCTTTTTTTTTAAAAACAAAAATAATTTCTACATGATTGTATGATGACCTTCCAATCCACATAATTCTGGTTTAGGTGCAGGTTTTGCTGTTGTTCCTGTTTACAAAGCTTTGGAGAAGAGTGGGATTGTTTCCTTCTGGAACATGGTGGGTGAGGAAGACCTGTTATAATTGTAGGGTGGCCACAGGGTAGTGGTAAAGCAGCTGTGAGGGCCTGATGTGCCTGGAGCAAATGGTGTGGGAGCAGTAGGCTGAGCAGAGTGCTGGAAGCACACTGTGCTTCAGCAGGGGGTGAAGTGGCTTGCAAAAATGCAGTAAACTTCCCCAGGGAGCCTCAGAATTTGGGGCATTGAGTAGTTTGTTCACTGTCCATGCAGAGGACATGAATCTCTTGCAGCAGTGAAGAGCTTCCAGGTAACCCAGGGAAAGCCAAAAGCTGTCTGCACTCTGCTGGCAGAAGAGTTTAGGAACTTGTATCCCAGGAGCAGAGGAAGTCAAAGCCTTGAACACCCATCCTTCCTGGGCACTGAGACAAGTCTTGTTTTTCTGGTGGTGCTGGACATGACAGCCAGCCCTGTCTCTAGGACTGTGTCCTGCTTACATGATGTCATTGCACCTCCCAGCTGTGGGGAGAGCCCCTGCTCCAGTGCAAGTTCTGCTTCCATACAGACCCCAGAAGACTCTGAGTCCCCATCCTGTTTTTTTTCCCCACACAAACTTTTTTTTTTAATGAAAAGAATAGATGGTGCTGCCTGGAATTATAGAATAGAATTATAGCCTGTCCTAGTATTTGTAGGAGAGTTTATTTAAAGAGCTACCTCTGTCCTCTGCAGCAGGCTTGTCCCCAACACACAGCCTTCTCTAAGATGACAGACAAGGCTAAAAATAACATGTGGAACCAGCTTGGTGCAATTTTATGTGATCTGTCTCCCCAACCCTTGTATTGATGGCATCAAGATTTTTGTCACAGGGTAAAAGAATTCAAGAGAACAAAGCATGTGTGCAGCCATGTCTGCTGAAAGCCAAGGGAAATTCCTGTGTTCCCCTTCCCCTACCAAGCTGTCTCCTCGGATGCTGGAATAAATGTAAGAACCCTAGCAGGAAGCTGGTTCAAATGTTCTTGCAGATTAAATAGTATTAAAAAAAAAACCCAAAAATGCCTGTATCTCTCTTCAGCAAAGGTTTTCTGATTCTTCAGGAATTGATGTCATGGCCTCTGCTAGATCAGTGCTGCATATTTTTGTTATTTCATTGTGATGGTTTTAAAAAGCCCAGACTCTTGAGTTTAGTTAACTCCTTGCTCTGAAGGTTGAATTTTATGTTCACATTAAATAAAAAGTTGAAATTTTGTGGATCAAACTGTGATAGCAGGCAGCTTCATTCCCAAAACTGAACTTATCAGCCATAACCAAGTATTTCAATCCAGTGTAGCAGCCACTGGCATCCACTACCATTAGCAAACAAATGGAATTTGCCCATTGCTAGACAGGAAAGATGTCATGTTCCCATAAAGGCAGGGGAGCTGCTGATTCCAGCAGAGAGCTCCTTAGTAAGCCAGAATGAAGCTAAATCTGGCACTGAACCCTTCTGTGCTCGTTTAAATACGTATATATATATATATATACGTATATATATGCATACACACACACACATATCTATATATATATATCTTTCTCACTTTTTATTCACACACTCCTTTTATTCGCACACTCCTCCTTTCTTCCTCCCCCTTTTTCACTCCTCAAAAAAACACCACTGAAGAGCAGTAGTCAGCAGAAAGGAGGAGCTTTATCTGTACCATGGCAATGCCATCAGTATTTTGAACCTGAGTGTCTCTTAAAGAAGGTGCCATGGAGTTCTTTTCCCCCCCCTGCAGTTAGAGGGTATTGCCAGTGGGGACCTGGGGACTGCTTAGCCTTGCTGTGCCTGGGCATGGTGGCAGTGGTGTCCTTATGCCTCCCATCAGGGAACTGGTGGGGGGACTGAGCTTAGTTTTGCTGCTTTTCCACTGTACTGAATTTCCTTCAACTAACCCTTTTCTCCTTCTCTGTGAGGCCTGCTGGAGGAACCTGTAGCACATGGCTGCAGCCTTCTCCTTTCTCTTTCTGCGGGGCCCTGCAGCCAGCCTTGGCTTCCTGGCTGTCGGACTTTCCCAGCCGTGAGATGCAAGGGGATGTAGAGGCTGAAGGCATGGCTGATTGTCCTGACTGTCTATCATCAACTGAAAACAAATGCAAAATACATTGTACCTGACACAAATATCCCCTTTTATTGTGTTGACTCCTAGAGATTGGTACACAAAACTTCTTTTCAAGTGAGCGTGCACTAATGTACTTTGAAAGATTCCATTTGCTGTTGCTGTAATACTGTGTTGAGTACCTACTGCAGTGTCAAGTTCCTAATGAAGGCCTACTTTGGAACTATTTGGCATAGTCAATCAGTGAATTTGATTGCTCGCTCAGTCTGAATGAGTTTCTCAATCCATTATGACAATACCCACATGGCCCTGCCAAGTAGCAGTGTCTCTACATCCCTTCTAATATCCTGACATATGGTTTTTATTGTATAAAATTAAAGTGAACAGTTACAGCAGGTTCCAGTGAATGAAGTTCTGGAGGATGCTGGATGTTAAAGGGAATCTGAGTAAGCAGGAATGTCTCTTTAGCTTTCTGCAGATATCTGTGCCATGGCACTGGACAGCTTTGTTAAAAATGATGCGGTTTACACTTAGCTGCCTTCCTCTTCAGGCAAGAGGAGTAAAACTTTGGAGTTTAGGTGTGTGGGGCACTTGGGTGTTGTCCTCTGCTCAATTCATGGTATGAACAAGGTCACATGAAGCAGTTCAGTGCTTCTTGCAGTAATACAACTCCATGTGGAAGACTTTATTCAGATTTGTGTTTGCCAAAGTCTTCCATAGAGGCTGGTGTTGGGCACAGACACAGCAGCCCTTGCTCTGCCAGAGCCATAGGTATTGCTGTGTACAATTGTGTGAGGGTGAAAATGGTTTGCAACTGTTCGCTGTGTACCAGAGCCATTGGGAACAGTATCTTTTACTCTGCTGGTTCAGGGCACTTTTAATTTCAGTTTATTTACCTTTGTCTTTAATTTTCTTGGTGTCTCTCTTCCCTTCTCCTGGGTATAATGTTTTCGCGTACAGATGTCTCCTCGCTCTGCCCGCCGACGTTGGTCCATACAAGCAATTAACGACTTCCCGGTACTGTGTGCTGTGCTAATACTGTCCTTGATATGACCCTGTCTTCTGCCCAAGGGCCCAAGAATAAAATGCCACCTGCCTGCCTTTGAGTAACCTGCACAGAGCTGGGGGACTCGCACTCCACACAGGGCCTAGGGCTTCACGAGCAGATGAACGTGTAAGTGGGCAGGAGCAGACAGTAGTCTGCAAGGTGCAATTACTGACCTACAGGATGCCTGTTTCACCCGGCCTTGTGGTCAGGAAAGGATGCCAAGGGGTAATTTGAAGTGTAAGAAAATATCAACCTCTGAGATACCGAGTGCACTGTAGAGGAGCTGAGTGATTATTATACATCATCAACCAAGTGATGAGACTGACATTAGAGCACCTAATTTCTGAAAAGTCAAAGTCTTGCTGGAGAGGGAGGGAAGATCACTAAGAGCTGTGGAAGAAGCAAACTGGTTGAGTCTCTGACAACAATCTGTCATCTCATTAAAATGAACTGCCACTTCTTAGTGCAATCCATCACAGTCTTATTTCCTGGATCAAAAAATACAATTTCTTGTTAACTTGTGATCTCCAAGCCCTTGGGGTTGCACCACTTCATTCATTTAGAGTGGTTGTACTTCAGCCACCCTGGCAGGTACTCCCTCCTCCTGGCACCTGCCCTGCTGAGTCTGCTTTGACAGTTGTTTTCTGATAGTCAGGTCCACGTGTCCCTCAAGCTCCAACATCGTTCATGATATTGTCATCTTGATGATATCAGGATTGCTCAAGCTGTGCTGTACATGTGGGTAATGACTCTTTCATCACTCATCTTCCAAGTATAGAAAAAGCTCTGAAAATTCCATTTCAATTTAAAGATGATCTCTTTAAGTCTGTTTGTCTTAATGTCTGCACGAACAACTGTTTTTTCACAGCTGCTGTCCTTCATGCTATCTCTTCATAAGACAGCAGGGAATAAAATAGAGTCTTGTAACACCTGATTTAACTTGGGGTAATAGGATCAAGTTTTCCTAATTGCAAGAGTTCTAAGACTGTACTAGCAAATAATAGGTAAAAGAAACCAGAAGTAATTTACTTGACTACATCAAGGCTTTTTACAACGCGCCTTGTGAGCAGCAGAGGCAAGAAATAAAGTTCTGTTTTGAATCAGGAGTAGACTGAAAGAAGGAAAATCAAGCAATGAACTTGCCAGCTCGTGTGGTAAATTGCAGAGCACAAAAGCTATGGTTTAATTCCCTTACCACTGTCCTGGAAGGAAGAGCAAGTAGTGATGTGATTAAGTTATAATTTTCAGTAATGCATATTTAAAAGGGATACAGGGGTTAGTCCAAGCCTTGAAGGATTGATTGTATTTGTGGATAACCTTCAAAAGAGGCTAAACTGACTCTCTAAAGGGGACAGCAGTGCCTAAGGTAAAGACACAGGCATACACAAGGAGAGGTATAGTTTATTAGTGCAAATCACATGCCTCCCTTCTGGAAGAAGAGCTCAGCATTGCTCAAGGTGTTTGGGGAAGCAAGAGTTTAGCAAGTTTACAAGACACAATAAATAATTCTTCCTCCTTTCTAGCCACCTCTTCTGAAGTGGCCATGCTTCGGGGCAGGTGCCAGCTATTGATTGATGGAAGCTATGAAGAAATATTCCTGCTTTGGGGCACTTGATTCAAAAGGGCCTTGGATTTTTTAGTGCCTTTATGGCAGGTGCCTGATACTGTGGGAGATGCTGGAAATAGTAAATGTTGATTATTTTGAAGAGAAAGTCCAGGCAGTGCTGCATGAGCCACATGGGGGAGTTAATCTGTAGGAGTTGTTCAGAATAAAGGAGCATAGCATTCTACCGGGAGGAAGCAATTTTTGCATTTTATTAAAAAAAATAAATATGAGAAGCAGCTTGAACCTGACTTGAGCAGGTTTAACTATTTTGTACATGCGTTATTGCAGCTTAATCTCTTGGCATTGAGTCTGTTCTCTTCTATTCACAGTCTTTACCTTTGCCCTACTAATGCCAGTTTATAGCACAAACCCTGAAATTTTGCATATGCTGATGTGAAACAGGCACTTTAGATTTCAGGATCCTGCTTAAAGCACTGCCTGCCTCAGCAGGATCCAAAGGCGCACACACCCAAGTGTTCAGCATCCTTTCCAAGCGGGAAGCATTTTGCAACTCCTGCTGCTGAGTATGCAGTGGTGATGGTGGTTGCTACAAAGCAGTTGGTGGCTTATTCTTGGGCTATCTGTTTCTACATGTAACCCATTTACTGCCATCGTTATCACCTCAGATTGCAGCAAATTACAGCCTTGGGTATGGTAGTGCAGGTGCAGGCTGGCTTTTTTAGTCATTATCCAGTGCTGTTCCCTGCTGTCACCTCCAACCCATGATTGCCATAAATGCTCTGGTTTCTTCCCTTCTTGTGCTCTGAGGAACTGATGAGTCTTAATTTACTTATCACTGTAACTATTTTCTTTCGTATCTTCCTCTCATTAAACTGAGGAGCAGCTGGGTAGATGCAGTTATCCTTGGCATGGATTCTAGGCTTCAGAAAGAGCTAGAAATGTCGTGGGCAGTGCAGAAGACCTGTGCCTTTGTCCTTCAGCTGCCAGCAGCTAGCTTGGTGCATGTTGAATCCTGCTTCAGCTCCAGCTGTTATGTTTCCTGCTCTCCATCCTGACCTGTGCTCCAGCCCCTAGAAAGAGATGTGTTTTCTGCTCTACCCTAATGCCCCTGGGCCTTGGTGACACTTTTTGATTACACCATAGTGGGAGCTTCTCCTGGGAGAAGAGGTGGAATGGGAGGGAGGTGGACCTAAATCAAAGAAACCTAAAGCTTTTGTTGTCTTTGGTAATCCCTGTTAAATGTGCTCAAATACTGCCAGGTGGAAAGCTACTCCTGTGATTAACACCAGCAATTACTGGATTCAAAGTAGAACTTCTGCTGTCACTGGTGATGAACTTTACCCCATCTGTGATGGTTCTCATACTTCTGATTGTGGGGTTTTTTCCTAACTCTTACTTGCTGTAGCTGAGGTAAACCTGAATTGCCAAAAACCCAGACTTTTTTAATGGTGAATTTACATGTAGCTTTATGATTGTTTTCTGTCACAGCTTTAGGGGCTAAAAGTGGTGGGCATGGAAGTGTAGTACAGGCAGGGCCTGTGGCCATCAACTAACTCCATTCCTGGAGATGCACCAGTAAAGAATTAGTGTTTCCTTTTTTGCTAGTAAATAAGCAGAAGAAAACAGGTCAATTTTGGTTTGAGTCCAGGTTTTCAGGGGTTCTGATACATTTAATGTTTCCATTTGTATGGTGATATGCTAAAAGCAAGCAGTGGAAACCATTCATGAGAGCTCTTTTTCATTCTCATCTTCATTTGTTGTCATTCTCCTCCCCCCCGCCAAAAAAAAAAGACCCAATTGCCTGTGGAAAATTATATGTGTTGTCCATGCTTGTAGTCTTGAAATGCCTGTTGGGAGGCTTCTTCAGTCTGCTCTTGCAGGGGGCAGGAGCAGGTTGAATCTGTTCCCAAAGACTGGGCAGAGGGAGCTCTCCATCGACTGACTCCTGGGGACAGCTGGCTTACAGACGGCCAGAAGGTGGCAGGTTGCTCTCTAAATTATCCACCAGGCTCTAGAAGCTCTTGTTGATAGCCCTGCAGAACGTGGTTCTGTGTCTGCAAGCCTGGGCTCAAACACCCACTCAGACACAGCACAAATAACAGCTTTTGCTGTGAGAAGCCTGGTAGCCCTTCCAGGACAGTGCCTGAGCTCTTTCCTCCTGGCATGTCATTATGCTGGGGCTCCCAAGCTTCACTCATATACTGATTTTGGTAGCATCAGCAGCTCCTCGCCACACCTGGGAGACAGCATTTGCTGTCCTGAGAAAGAATGAGGTACAGGTGCCACCTGGGAACCTTTTTGTAAGGTTATTGTAAGGTTACTTGGGAACCTTATTGTAATACAGCTCACATCCTTCAGCATGGAATTGGCAGCTAAACTTTTAGGTATTATCAAAACAGGATTAGCCTGCCCAGCGTCGAGAGAAGCAGAGCTGATCCAGACTGTGCCTTGATTAGGAACTGATGGACTGAAGAGAGGTGGGTCTCCCACCTGACCCCATTCTAGCCACCTTCCACTGCATAGTGCTTTTCAACTTCAGGAGACAGATAAGTGCTGCAGGCAGATTCCTCTTGGATGAATTAGGATTTGAATAGATGTGGCAGAGAACTAGTCAGTCAGCTTTTCCAGAGCACTGGATGCTGACAGCCCTGTTTCTACCAGTGTTTCACCCCTCTGAATGTTGGGCACCATGCAAGCTCTGCTCCTCTTTACTCAGGGTGGTGGAGGATCAGGGCAATGGTGATGCTATGTAACATGTGCATCCCTGGAAAAACCCACCTTTGCCTCCTTTGAGGCTGAAATGCCTTCTTCACTTACTGTCAAGCTGAAGCCTCTGATCCTCAGCTGTGCAGTGTTCAGAGAAGCTTCAGGAGCTGATCCTTCTAGTTTCTTGTGGCATGTGTTAGTAGTATGCTCAGCATGGCAAGATCTCTTCAGCACACTGGCCTAACCTTGGGCCAGGCAGGCAGTGGCATTTCTTAAGGTCATGAGTAGTTTTTTAAGGACATTTTGTGTCTGATAAGCCTGCCAGGTTCTCACAGGATTGCATGGTCATGGTCAAAAGCCATTTGGCACTCAGCCATCCCAGAGCTGGCCTCACACCCACAGTAAAGGTGATCTTGCTTGCAGATCCAAGTCCTGCCTTTCCTGTATCCCAGTCTGCTCTTTACGAGCGCCAATGTGAGCCTGTGTAAGCTGTGTCTGCCTAGCAGAGCCATCAGCACAGGGCTGCCTTGCTGGCCTCTTGAGAGAGGGGCTGTTCTGCTTTGATGAGATGTGTGGGAAGCCCCAGCATGAGTGTCCCAGGAGAGCTTCCCTAACTCAGCATGTCCGGGTGCCTCCGTGTGGGTCGGTCGGCTCGGTGTGGCAATGAGGGAGCGCCATAGCAGAGCAGCATTGCAAAGCACTGGAGCCCTGCATAGCAGCCAGTGCTTCCTTCATAGAGCTCCAGTGCCTTCTGCCTGTCATGCTGCCACACATCCTCTCATCCCTCCTCCTCACTCTCCTAGAGCAAGGAGCTGGAAGAGGTCAGGATACCAGATAGATACTCTATGCTGTTTCACACAGCCAAGGTAGCTTTATGCGGCTTGGCTTTAAGATGGTCTCTATCTGTTACAGAGAGTATTTGGGAATCTTGGCTTCTTGTTTCTGTTCCCTTCTGTTGGTTCCTCTCCTTTCTTCTCCCCCCTCTTATGTGCTGAGCCAGCTGTAAGTAGATATGAGCATGGTAGCTAGGGATCCTTGCTAGGAAAACTTGGACTCTGCTTTATCATCTGGCAGTTGTTTGTTTGAAGCTGTTGATAAAGCAGGAGGTGGGAGCCCTGTGCTGGCACTGAACAGGGCCGTTCTCACCCTGAGAGGACAGACCTAGAGACAGACTGGAGCGGTGGGCTTGCCCTGAGGCAAAGGGCGAGCAGCAGCTGCCTCCAGCATGTCTCTGTGGTCTCTGTGCTGACGCTGGCTGAAGTCAGCAGTGGTTTATCTGCAAAGGGTTCCCAGAGAATGAGAATTGAACAGTCCTCCTGCCAAACTTGCCCAGGTTTGATTGGCATCCCAATGCTGATTTATTCTATTATTGGCTTTCACAGGGAAACTCACAAAATATTTTTGAGTGAGTTTGACCTTGAGCTCACTGCCTTGACCTGCTTTTCACTTCCTACAGATGGAGATGCTTGTTCTCCTGGGCATGTCATGGATGTTTTCCAGGGTAACACAGAGCCTTCTGAAAGGCAGGTTTGGGTGCTGCTTGCATTATTCCTGACCCTAGTGCTTTTTTCCCTGTCCCAACCAGCCTACTGTCCTCTTCTCCAGTAACACTTTGCTGTTGGTTCTGCAGAAATCAAGGAGATGGAAAAGCAAACGAGAGGGGACAGATGCCAATAACCGACCCATCAAAGCTGCTGGGAAAGTTATTATCCAAGATATTTCCTGCTTGCTGCCTGTCCACAAGCTGCTGGGAGAACTCTACATGTGAGTACACGTGGGTTGTCATCCTTTCCCATATGAGAGTAGCTGTCTTGGCATTGCTGTGCTTTAATCCTGACATCAGTCAGCATGGATCCATGAATATTTCTCTACCTTCTTCCTCTGTTCTTGCCTCACTGCTTTTTTTGGTATCCCTCTGCCTGTGAGAGGGGACCTGTCTCCTGTAAATCTGAAAAGTGTGAGGGAAGAAATTTGTGATGACGTGTAGTCAATAGAGTTTGAATCAGCATCATCACTGCAAATGTTGTAGGTTCAGATTTTCACCTGCTAAAGAGAGAAATAATCAGTATAAATTCTTTTTCAAATCTCATGTTAAATGCAGAGGCTTAAAAGTCTCAGTAAATGCACATTTTCATTCTGTAAAACTATTAATAGCTCATAAAGTTTTTTCATTACAGAAGTATATGATATGTTCCCACTTGGAGTCTTGTTTGTATATGTCAGGTCTGTTGTGCAGGTTGTTCTGTGGTATTGGAAAGAATGGAGTTCTGTGGGCATTTTTATGTTTTTGTTGGTTTTGGATTTTTTTTTAACAAAGGGCTTCCTTTTTCCAGACTTTCTAAATCATATGGTTACAAAACCTCTGTTCCTGAATTTTTTCTTTCTTAGCTTTGGTAATACTGGCTAGTCCTTAACAGAATTTCCAGTCTATGGACATCCAGGGAAGAAGCAGGTTTCCTTTATGAGGAAAGAAAGAGAGGAAAAAAAAACCTTTCTCTCCCTTTCTGTGTTATTAAAAAGAATATTCTTTTGAAAAAACTGTTGGACCTTTCTTCTTGGGACATATTGTGTAAACAACCTGACCCTTTTCCATGTGCTGTAAAAATCTCAAGCAGTTGAAGTGTTGGGAAGATTTCTGATGATAGGCAGAAGAGCACACGTGGGCTTCCTCAGCCCACCTTGCCAGCCTGTCAAGGCTTCACACAGTGGGTGTTATCCCCTAGCCAGCCTGGTTCTTCCCAGTGTGCTCCTGTCTCCCTCTGAGTCAGCCAGAGCAGACTGATGGGCTGAATGGGAACCATATAGCCAATGGCACCAGCTTTTAGGGACAAGAATGATTCTGGACTTCATGATGCCCCAGCAGAAGTTTGGTTTGATATCCTCTTGGAAGTGGTGTTGCTTAGAATCAATCCCAGCTAGTATGGACTTGGACTCGATGTGTGGTGTATTAGCAAAAATGAATAGTGGGAGGAGGATGGCAGTGATCCCTGAATAACAAGAGAAGGATGGGATGGGTTCCTGGCCATGCAAAGAGGCTCGTATTGATTGGGAGGTTCTGGGCTGCTCGCTGCTGCCAGAGCCACGTTCCCCCTTCCCCCCATTCCTCCCCACCCTTGTAGGTAACGTGCCAATCAGAGCTGAGTTACCTCCTTTCTTTTCAGACTGAACGTGAATAACATCCAGGAGACTTGCCAGAAGAATGCTGCCTCAGCCTTGGCTGTGGGGCGGAGGGATCTCGTACAGGTATGCCGTGGAATCCGACCTCTTCCTCAGCAGCCTGTGCTACCCTCCAATGGCTTGTGCTGTCACCAGCACCCAAACACCACTGGGGTTCAGCAGCTCTATCAGGGACTCCCTGGCTGGTGAACCTGGCCTGTGGAACAGCCGCCAAGGTGATCCCCACCTCGCTGACTCTGGGCATTGAGAGATTCCTTCCGAGCACTGCACACAGATTCTTTTATCCCCTTTGCCAAACTCAGTGAAACACATTTTTCAGGGAATTCCTGTAGGCAAAATGAGGAATGCAGTCTGCTTTTGAGTCATCAAATGGAGTAACTGTGCAGAGTTGCCGAGCTGCTGTCAGCATTTTGATTAGTAATTCTTTTCGTACTTATGTTATTGTTCCCATTGTTTGGCATTCTGCTGGCACTGGGTACTAAGTGCAGCTGTCTTCTCCCAAAAGAGCCTGGGCCCAGGGGCCCCAAAATGGGGGTGGTATTTGCCTTCAGCTAAAAGTAGGAGAAAAATGGCTGTTGTGGCCCATGCTTTTCTCTGTGATTAGTCCATTGCAACAGGCAGAACATTTGACAGGACACGGGAACACCTGAAAGAGATGGGAATTGGCAGTGCCACAGGAGCTGTGCACATCTCCTCACCATTTGGCTCTTCCTAGAGCTGGATAGGCAACATGCATAGGCTTACCTGATCTAAGCAGAAGCTGACTCAAGCTGTTGTCTTGATTCTTGGTGGGTTCTGCAACACCAGCAGAGAGAAAGTAGGTCTAGTTCTCCCTTGTCTGTTCTTCTAGCAGTCTGGTTTGTCCACATTGGACCAGAGTTTGGGTGGAGTAACTTCAGCAAGATATCTCTGAGATAACTCTGTTTCTTGCTTGGTCTTCCCTGTCCCATGTAGCTCCAGCCTGCAGTGCAGCTCACAGCAAAAATGCAGGCTTGAATTGCAAGTTACAGGTTTGATGTGCTCTGTAGCAGTGTAGGAAGTGGAATATTTCCTGTTTGCTTTCTGTGCACTCTCTTACGCAGCCCAGTCCTTGTTTCAGTTTCTCTTATGTTCCTCTCTCTGGTTTCACGGGAAGCAGCTTTGGGATTACTTTTTCTGGCTGTTTGTTCTTTGTACTTGGTGCATGTGGTTTTTCTTTATTGTCCACATTGTCAGTTCTCTGATTTCTGCTGTCCTTTTAGCACCATGCTCTTTTTCCTTTCCTGCTCTTTTTTTCATGCTAAATTAGGAGCTTTCCTTTTTCCTGGAATATTCTATCCCATTTTTAAAGGCACAGCAGAAAAAAACAATCCTAGATCAGTGGTATAGAGGCTGACAAGATGGAATCATTTTCAGAATAGAGGATGAAAATTAAGGAGAAATTTCATGTGAAGTGCTTAAACTTCTGAAATAGAAAAGGCAAACATTGTCCTGTCTGTACCAAGCTGCATTAGGAGAATAGCGCTCAGTGATAGCACTAATGAAAGGATACTTCTCATGCAAATAATGATTTCCCAATAAACTTTCTGCCACCAGACATCTCTGAACCCAAGAACTGTATCAAATCTAAACCCTTTTGATGCTTGTGAATATAAAATGCACTAACAGACTATAGACTGTTCTGCTTTTGCATTTAACCCAAACACGAAGTGAGTGGGACAGTTAAAGCCTGGTTTTGTGTTATTCTCTGTATTATTTGTGACACAGAGACTGAAACTGTTCCCTGCTATCAGGGAAAAAAAAAAAGCCAAAACAGACAAGCTCAAGCTCCATTATTATCTGTCTGTGTGTGAATTTGTGCACACCTATGCCCTAGGAGTGTGGTTAATCCTAATTGTAGCTCTTCTGCTTTTCCTTCCTGTCTGCCAGGTTTGGTCACTGGCCATGGTAGCCACTGATCTCTGTCTTGGACCGAAGTCTGACCCAGATTTAGAGATACCTTGGGCACAACATCCATTTGGACGTCAATTACTGGAGTCCTTGTACGTGTCTGAATGCTGGGGAGGGCTTGGGGAATGGTTGCTGAAGCAGAGCCCTCCATAACTATGTATGTGTAAGGAGTCATTTCATATTTGGGGTAGTGCCACAACATGGATATTTTTCCCATCTCAAGCCTCTGATGCATCACAAAGGGAAACTCCAAATGTGTTTCTGGCATACAGGAGGCAGCCCTTGACCTTCCACCTATCACTCAGGTCTTCCTTGGCCAGCATTGAGCAATAGGCCAGGCACAGGTGGAGCTCTGCTTTCCATGCCCAGAATGCTTGACTTGGAGATTTGGGTTTCCTGCTCCCCATTAAACAAGCCTGTTGGTGCAGGCTCTTTTTTACCTTCAGATTCCCTGTTGTCACCTACCTTTATTGGAAGTTGCTCCAGTGGCTACAAAGCTGTGTGTTAGCTACAAATGTTTTCCAGGTGAATCTACTCAGGAGTTACATGATATTATTTGTCAGTCCATGCTATCTGAAGTGCAGGATTTGTGTGCTGTGCTTTCCATACTGTTGTTTGGCCAAGCTCTCTCCTGCTGCATGGCAGCTGTGGGGGCACAGCACAGGTTGTTCTTTATCACTCTCAGCCTTCAGATCAAACTGGAAGCTTCCTAGCCTTCTACAAAACCTGCAGCAGCCAATTGCCTTGTGATCCAGGTGCAGGACACTTGCACCCAGAAGGCTTTGTCAAAAAGATGGGATGGGAGTGAGTCTAATGGCTCCAGCATTACATCAGAGCCCAAGTACTGCTGAATTCCCAGAGCTCCCATCTTTCTCCCACCAGTTAGGGCATGAGCATTTTCAGAAGGAGAACTTGGCTCCTCAAAGGTGTTTAGAAAAGCCAATCCAGTTCCTCAGTGCACATGTCTCCTGTGGGCAGTCATGACACCCAAACCCATGTGTGCAACAGACTTGAAATTAGCTGCCCTGGAGTCTCAGTGGTTTTGCTACTGAATTCTGCTCAGGCTGACACTGTCTTTTTCATTTCCCAGGCTGGCTCATTACTCACAGCTCCATGATGTACAGACCCTAGCCATGCTCTGCAGTGTGTTTGAAGCCCAGTCCAGGCTCCAGGGATGCCCCAACTCTTGTGTCCCCTTTCCTCAGCGTGCCTCCAACCTGGCCTCCCACAGCCGATACGTATGATCACCATTTCTTTCCCATTTGTCTTGGATATATTTGAATGTCTTTCGCATAGATGACATGATTTATTCTCCTTTCCCCCTCAACAGCCCAGCTTTACTTCCTCAGGCTCCTGTTCCAGCATGTCAGATCCCGGGATTGGCACTGGAGGCTGGAGCATAGGTATGAGACTTGGTAAATAAAGGAATCTCCCACCCTTCCAGCCAAGGTTTTAGATAGCTCCTGTGGTGGGGAAAAGAGGGAGTTAGTACCAGCTGTGACTGCAGATGTGCTCTGCTAGAGCAACTCTGTTGGGTTTGGCCAGTATGGTGTGACTCCATGGCTGGAAGTGAGCAGGCCTTGCAGTGTCTGTGTCAAGGCTCCTGCAGTCCTGTACCTTCTGACTTCAGTAGATACTTCATTCAACAAGTATCAAAAATGGCCTCAAAATGTCATCAGCTGTCTAATTCCACAGCATTCAGGGGGAAAGCAGTGCTGTGCTTTCTTCTCTCACTGGCAGAAACACAGCAGTTGGAATGACTGGGTTCTTGGTGCTATGAATATCCACAGAGGTTTTTCACTGTGACAAAGGGGGCTCTGGTGTCAGAGTTGAAACTTTTGGCAGATTCCTAGTGATATACATGTCCTGGGGCAGCATCAGCCCTGTTAGCACCAGAGCTATAACTTTTCAGTGTGATATCAAGGCACATGTGACATGGGGAAGAGGACAGGATGGGGTTTAGGGGAGCGGATAATCTTTTGTAGCAGTTATTAGCAGTCATCTCCCTGCCCCCAGGGCAGTACCTTGCATGCAGAGGCCCCTTTACGTAACAGCAGTCCTGGTGATGAGAGTCCTCCCTGTCTAGGAAAGAGTAACCCAAGACCGCCCAGGAAAATGTTCCCAAGCAAACTCCATGGGATTGATTGCCTGGTTCCTTTTTGTCTAAAGCAGAAGGCAAAAGGGATTCCTCCACATCAGATTTCTCTGCCTGGTGATGCCCATTAAGTCCTTTCACCAAAAGTGTCGTAGAAGCACTTGGCAAGTAGAGACTGGCACATAGTTCTTGGAGGCGGGGCAGTGTTTGTTGAAATGCAGAGGGTGGTAGCACTGAAACACAGGGCTGCAAACCTGTGGGCTTTGATGTCCCTTCCTGATTCCTGTTGTGAGGGGGGAGATGCACTCACAGCCTCTTGTTGTTTGCAGCAAACAAAGACACAGAGCAGACCTCCACTCCCTGGTGCGAGTCTTCTCCAGATGACTTCCGCTATGGAAACCTAACGTATCCTGATCCTCGGGAGAGGGAGAAGGACCAGCATGAGAAAAACAAAAGGTAGGTTGTCACATGCCTTGGGGGTATTCAGAGATGCCTTACTTGTGTCTCAGTCACATGGAACTCCATGGCCAGGTCTCTTGGTGCTGTGCAGTACCACATCTTCCCCTAGACCTTGTCATTCACACAGTTGCTTGAAGAAGCTTCATCCTGCAGATCAGCACTGCTGGGCTGGGCTTACACTTGATGCATCCCTAAGAGGCCATGGTAGGGGCCCCAAAGGACAGTCCACCCACAGATTGTGCACCCTGGAATGTAGAACAAATCAAGGCCAGAGCAGTTTGTATTCAGCATGTTTCAGCAACCCGTGGGAAGTGCCCTGCTGCATTTCCAGCAGTGTGAGATAGTTGCATAGCCATTGTAGAAAAGAGAATTGCAACCAGAGTCTCTGAGAGTCAATCAGTGTTTGTTCCTCTAGGTTGCTGGATCCTGCCAACACTCAGCAATTTGATGACTTTAAGAAGTGCTATGGAGAAATCCTGTATCGCTGGGGCCTGCGAGAGAAGCGGGCTGAGGTTCTGAAGTTTGTCTCGTGTCCTCCTGATCCCCACAAGGGAATTGGTGAGTGTCTGGTCCAGTTGCTCAGGCAGAGCCACAGTTCTGCCTCTGGGAGCTTAGGAACGTGCAATCTGCAGGGCAGGATGTGTTGTGAATGGAATGGACAAAGTTTATCAGAGAGATCCACCCAAGCGAGTCACAAGGGTTTAAAGTGGTTATATAGGTGTAATTGAACCTTGGTACAAATCATTCCACAGGATTAATGATGGCAAACCAATTATTTAATATGAATAAAATATGAAGAGTTTATTTAAATTGATGAATATAATGATAATCATTAGACTAAAAAGGCCTTAATCAGAATTATTTACCACACAGTATAGAAAATTAAAACTAGAAATACACTGCACTGGTTATTAAATAAATAATATCAAAGCTAGCTTAATAATTATCGGGTAGACACTGATGTCCATCCTTAGCAATGACCATGGACAAATCTCTCTCACTGAGCTTTGAGGAGTGACCTTGAGGGGTGTCCCCACCCAAGGTAAGGCTCTTCACACACACCTAAAGGAGGTGTGTTAAAAATTTTCACCATGTAAAAATGGAACTGGTCTTTACTTTATGGTATGAAATAATTGACTGTCAGTCACACAATTTTAGATAAAATGTTGTCCTGCCTGCTCAACAGAACATGCTTTATTTTTTTAATAAGATGCTGTCAGCTCTTTGGTTTCTTCTTCTGTAAACATCTGCCTCTCCCTTCCCTGCCAGGGTTTTCACATCCCTGTTGATGTCAGCCCTGATGAGGAAGCATTTGCCTTACCTGTCCATGTGATGGGTCTAATTTGGGGTAGTGTGATCAAGCTGGTTTCAGCATTCTTCAACACAAAGAACAGCAGGGCCCTCCCTGTTCAATCCATCATTGATAGCTTGCAAGTAAGGTAAAATCCAAGCTGTTTTACTCCTGCTTAGGCAGAGAATTCTACTACATGGATAAAGTGTCCATTGGTTAATGAAATGCCACAGCAAATGTGGCTAAACTCTCTGAGAGAGGTTAGCTCTGCCAGTAAATGGGTTTGACTTCTTCACAATTCTGGGTGGAGGTGAGGCTTTCAGGTGTGGGTTCAAGGGCTTTGTAGACTGTAACATCTCTCCAGGAAAGCTGGAAAATTCACATACTGCCATGCAAGCAGTGCTCAGCTCTGTACTGATGAATGTCCTTTATTCCCTCTGAGATGCCCTGTCTTCATCTCTGATCCTGGGCTAAAGTGTCCTTGTGTTAAAATGGCAAGATCTCTAACTAGGTGAGCTAGCCAGCCAAAAGAACTTTCCTCCCAAAATACTTTCAGCAGTGTGGATGCCCAGCTTAAGGACAGCTGCTAAATTGTGCTCTTCACAGACCTCTGGGAACAGATGTGCTTGACCTGGGAGGGAGAAAAACAGCTGAAGGATGCCAGAGAAACAGCAGTAGTCTCACCTTGTCACCCAAGACAAGCTCTGGGGAGTAACTGGAGTGAAAACAAGTGACTTAACCCACTGCCTTTGCTCCTCCATGACTGACAGTCTGATACAGGAGCATCAGGTGGGCTCTCTGATGAGAAATGGAGACTGTTCTTGCTTAGTGACACTTTATAGTGGTAGGAGGTGGATGAGACCAGCAGGAAGCTTTCATGAGTCAGTGTCTCCAAAGCTTGAAATCCAACTCACATTTGCAGCAGACAGCTGTAGCCATCAGGGGAATTGCTGGGCCAGTCAGTGCCGCAGTGCTCCAGTTGTCCATTCCTTTGATCACATGTGGAGAACAAACCAAGATCTCTAAACACCATCCACTCTCCATCCGGCTGGAGCTGTGAGGCGGTGTGAGGGGCTCTATGCAGGGCTGCTTTGTCCACGATTCCAGCCCTGACTGTCCCCTCTCCATGTGTTCCTCCGGCAGAGTTCGGCGTGTACTGCAGCCACTGCCGCAGCGAGGTGCGCGGCACCCAGTGCGCCGTCTGCAAGGGCTTCACCTTCCAGTGCGCCATCTGCCACGTGGCCGTGCGGGGCTCCTCCAACTTCTGCCTCACCTGCGGCCACGGAGGCCACACCAGCCACATGATGGAGTGGTTTCGCACCCAGGAGGTCTGTCCCACAGGCTGTGGGTGCCACTGCCTGCTCGAGAGCACCTTCTGAGCAGTGGGGACAGCGAGCCACCCGGGAACTGACTGAATATTTCATTCCCAAGCCATGTTGAGTCAGCTCTGCTCCACTCTGTCTGGACGAGATCGCCACAAGGAGCTGAAACAGGACATCCTGGTAATGTGCTGTGGTGATGTTTACAAGTGCTTCCTTTACTCCTACGCTTCCCAGGTTGCTTTCAGACCAATTTGACCAAATTCCCTGTGTCCATTGCTGGCAATGGATGTCAGAACTGAAAAATTGCTCTCTCCTGCAGAAGGGTGTGTGAATATTGGTTAGTTTGGGATTAAGAGGTTTTTGAAAGCTCCCCTGGAAGGGGCCCACCTGGCAGACCCAAACTCGCTTCAGCAATGTAGAGTCTTTTCTAGGTGCCTCCTTACAAGGGTTCAAACTGAGCAAAACAATTGATTTACACAATTAAAGCAGAAATAATTCTCAAGCAACAGTAAGCTCTGAAGGTGAGTTGCAAATGGCGCTTGAAGAGGAAATAGTCCATGGAACTGTGCTCAGAGTTTCTCTGGAAGCAGCAGGGTCCTTATTTTGAATGGCTGTTTACATCGTTTAGATTTCCCTACAAAGCAAGAAAAGGAAATGGCATTTTTCAGGATTACATCTTAAATAATTTCTGCTCACTAGTCAGTACCTGTGAAAAGCCTAGACAAGCACCCAAGGTCCCTGTAATTAGTTGCTTCCAGCAGTTTTAGTACTGTTAGGCTTTAAGGTGTCTCCATCTCCTGCTCTGACCAGGTGATAAAATGCACTTTAACTTGTCCCTGTCTTGGTGTGACGCTTCTGGTCACTGGGAAAGGCATATGCCTTTTGAGTTTGGGATCTACGCTGTCTTTAAGATGTGGTGTTTTGGAAAGCCTTTGCTCCCTCACTGAGAACACACATAGGGGACACTTACTCAATACAGCTCTTTTAGGTTGTTGTTTCCAAGCTCTACGGGAAAAATTAGGGTTAATTTGAGATTTGCTGCTGCTGGAGTGACAAAGCTCTTGAACAGGGAAGTGGCAGATTCTAGGGAAAAAGGGAGTTTGGAAGAATGGTGGAATCCATGGAGGCAAAAGGTTTATGACTTTCCTCACTGTGAAGCATCAACTGGAGAATGTACTGATGGATCTGTCTGTTTGGGGCTGTGCCTGCCAGGCACTCCCAGCACAGGGATGCTGCTGTGCAGTGTGTGCACACCTGGATCATGCAGCCTGTGCCTCTCCAGGGCTGGCTTCAGCCTGAGCTTTGAATTTGGGCAAATGTGTGCTCAGGGATGAGCCAGCTGGAGCTATCCCCACCTGTACCAGCACTGATCCCTTCTCCCACGCTTGCCTGCTGAGTGGTGCCGTGTGCCATGCCCGTTCCCAACCCCTGTGCTAGCTCAGGCAGTGGGATCCTGCTTTGGAATAAACAGATGATGTATCTTAAACAAAACATTAAAATTATTTTTTTTAAGTGCTGTTCTGATAGCATGTGGTGTTGCTCTCTCTGTGTGGGGCCCCAGCAGCTCTCCCTGCACCCCAAAGCAGAGGGCTCGGTAGTAGCAGAGCCGCACCAGAGCTAAGCCGCTGCTGGGTCCTGGCTGGGACAATGTGCTGACACCTGGGAGCAGGCTGGGAAGTGCCCGCGGTTGAGGCTCCTCTTGGGAAAGCACAGCCGGGCGGTGTCTGAGCTGCCGGTAAAGCCGGGGACGCTGCACGCTGCGGGCCGGGCGGCCCCGGGCAGCGTCCGGCCCCGTCCGGCCCCGGGCAGCGCCCGGCCCCGGGGAGCGCCCGGGCAGCGTCCGGCCCCGGGCAGCGTCCGGCCCCGGGCAGCGCCCGGCCCCGGGCAGCGCCCGGCCCCGTCCGGCCCCGGGGAGCACCCGGCCCCGTCCGACCCCGGGCGCCGCGGGTCCCGCCGGCGCCGCCGCCGCCCCGGGCAGCGCTCCTCGCCGGGAGCTGCACGGAGAGGGCTCCCGCCTCCCTCCGTGACAGCCATTCAGCCTGCAAGTATTTTCATTTCCATGCTTGAGTGCTCCTGTAGCTTGGAAGGGAAAGGAGATTTGTTATTTAAAGGTGACGGACCGACAAATCGTGGTATTTAGTGTGTTATTACAGTCCATTACGGTCCATCTCTGTAGTATGTGAGTGCCCCTGAGGCGGAGCACGGCCGGCACTTCAGAGGAAAAGCCCTTGCCGTGGCTGTTTGTGTAGCCCTGCACAGATAGGTGGAATTTCTTCCCGGATGCTGCCAGCTTGTCTCTCACCCTGCAGCGTGTCTGGTGGCTCCTTTGGGAGCAGCCCCACTGCGTGCGGAAGTGACTATTGCAAGGAAACACGAGCGGCTTATTCCCGCCCGAAGCGAGACACCTTGTTGCCTTTGCTGTGCAGGGCAGCGATAAATGGTCAGAAATGGAGCGTGGTGGTGCCCCACAGCAGCCCTTCCTCTGTGCTGCCCACCCCCGACTGCCTGTGCTCGCACCCACCTGCTCTCTGTAATATCTTGGTACCAAGTGCAACAAGTTCCCCAGTGAGGCCAAACCTCACTCTGAATTTCAGCTTTAGAGAAGGGAGAGGAGGCAGGGACTGCTCAGGCAGTGAGCATGGGCCAGACCTGCTCTGAGGATGCTGCCGTGATCAAACCAGGTGAATTGGATAGAGCCTTCAGCTGATGCAGTGCTCAGGAGAGTGGTCAGTCATGCTGCAGGGCAGGGGATGACCCATCCATGGTTTCTGCTGGGGCAGGAGCAAGGGGGCATTGGATTAAACCAGCTGCTCTGCACCAGGCAGGAGCGCTCTTTGGCACCGCAGGAGAGGTGTCAAACCACTTCCCTCAGGGCATCCCCGGTGCCACGGGTTTGCCAGGGCTCCAGGAGTGACTGGACACTGCCAAGGAGAGGAGCTCCATCTCAGGCCACCTCTGTCCAGAGAGCCCAGCCAGCAGTGCTCTGCAGAAATGCCCACGCACCCCACGCCTGCTTTGGCATCCTTCCCAGGCCGGTGCAGGGGAGGATGCCAAGGGTGGAAGACCTTAGGTCTGACCCTGAACAGCTGCTTGCCAAAACTTGCTTCAACTGCCTGCCAAGTGCATCCCAGGAGCTGTTACCTGTGTATCCATTAGCTTTCTCAAGGACAGGGCTGGAAGAGGGAGAGGGCACCCACGACAACCCACGCTGTGCCCTAAATGCCACTGTCAACATTTTAAATCCTATTTGTTTTCCTACTGAGGGTGTAACAAGTATGGTGTGCCTTCCCTATCCCCACTGAGGCTTTCCATGTACACAGAAAGAAGTTTAATCCCTGATGATCAAGTTTGGCAGAGAAACAAACAGTGTTTAGCAAAGAGGGAAAACCTTTCCCATGGATGCAATACCAAGCAGAGTCTGTATTGGCCTCCTCCTCCTTGACGGCCACAGCTCCATTATCCCAGCATCAGCCCCTCCAGCACTGCAGGGCCTAATCCTGCCTCAAGCCCAGCAGCACATTCCTGCTGTCTCCTGTGTGCCAGCCCCAGCGTCTGTCCGTCCGTCTGGTGGGGAAACCAGTTTAGGAACTGATGACCAGAAGCCACTTGGCTGCTCTCATTCCAGCCAGGCTGATCAGCAAACCAACTACACTTCCTGATCCTGCTTGTCCTGGAGCTGGCATGGTGCAGGGACAGGGACAGGGAAGAGAACACCAGCAAGGACAGGCATTGGCACAACGCTCTACTGCCAGTTTGATCCTGTTACACTGGTGTCTGCTGTACAGTTTGGTCCCAGTACTGTCCCTCTCCCAGTGCCACTCGTGCTCAGTGCATTCCTGCTCTGCAGGTGACAGGGTCCCACTGCTGCTCCAGTCTCACTGCAGAGCTGGGGATTGGCTCACCCACTGCAGGGACACCCTTGTGCCTTGCATGGGGGGACAGAGCCCCACCACAGCACCCAGGAGGTAACATGGGCAGATGAAATGTCAGCTCATAAGAGCCTGGTTCATATCCCTGAGCCCTGCTGTGGCACATTTGAGGACCACAGCGCTCTGTGTGCTTGGGAGAGGATGGCAGCAGGGACCCACAGGTCACCCGGCGGCTTTGTGGGCTGGCAAAGGCTGGACCCACCTCTGCCATGAGTGGTGATTACAGAGGGTGGCCCTTGGCAGCCTGTGGCCCCAAACCCAAGGTAGGGCTGGGCTGCACAAGCAAGAGCAGCCAGTGGGGACTGGGTGATGGGATCACAGCCATCTCCATCTCCTCCAACACCCCACAGAGGGATAGTGGCCACTGCACCTGAGCATGCTTGGAGTCTGGGGTCTCTGATTTGGAATTGGGTGCAGTGGCCTCCAGCTGAGAGGCCCAGCTCATTCAGATCTGCCCCCCCCACCTTGCCCTCATGCTCATTAAAAAATCCTCAATGTCCATCCAGAAGCCACCCTAATGCCCCAGAGAGCTGTGCCGGATTGAGCTTACCTGTCACAACTAGGACCACCTTGGCCACTGAGGGTATTGGGGAGCCCCCTTTGGAGAGTGTCCCACTCCAGCACCTCATTTGAGGTCTCCCAGCAATCTCTCAGGACTACTCTGGCCCTCTCAACCCCCAGAAAATGTTTTTGTCCTCCACCCCAAGGAACTCCCAATGCACCCCAGGTGCCCTGCAGCAGCCCTAGCCAGGAGCATGCCCACCCTTAACCCTTCTGCTCCTATCAGGGTGCAAAACCAATCTGCCCACCCAAAAAATGACTTTTCCCCCAAGCAGGTGACAGGGTCATGCCAGGAGCTGGTGGGAAGGTGGAGCCAATGCCGACTGCCACAGCAGGTTTTGCATCCACCTTGATTAAAGGCCTCAGTGAATGCCTGGCCTGCGCCCCACAGCACCCCAAAGCCGGGGGGCCTAGGTGGTGTGATGACCCACCCCTACAGGTGGGGCTGGGGGGGCTCCCCATTCCTGGGATGGCAAACCCCACCTTAATCACTGGTTGCAGCCCAGTGTGGCCGGCAACGCCAAATTTGCTGGCACGTGGCCAGCCCCTGTGGTTAAGGGTGTCACCCCAAAGCAGCCCCCCTCACTTCAGAGGGAAATCTTCCCAAAAAAATGCATGGGAAACTCCTTTCTTGTCATTCTTTATTAATTATTTGCTTGTGATTCTTTGGAGTATTTGGGGCTGCCTCCTGCCCCCTGACTAATTGCAAATTTATTTAAATACTGAAATATATCTTCAAACAGCTGGGAAGGGGGTGTGGTGCCTGGCAGCAAGTGACCCTGGGATGAGTTGACCTCTGGGTGACCCCAGGAAGGACCCTGCTCCTCTGGGGCACTCTGAGCCACATTGGGGCGTCCCCTGCCTTGGCCACCAAGAACCTTGGAAGGGGATTGGTAACTTGGGAAGGGTGATTCCCCCAGGGGTGCCCTATACCCCCCAGCTACCACCCCAGGATGCCCTCACAGCCTCATCCCTGCCCCAGGGATGCCCATACTCCAGTTCCACCCCGGGGTACCCCGGTGCCCCCCATAACCCATCCAAGGTTGCCCAGACCCTCCATTCCCCCGCCCTGACCATACCCATGGCCCCTGGGGGGGCCCTGTCCCCTCCCCTGGGCACGCCCCATGTCCCCCTTCACCCTCTGGGCGCGCTGTGCCCCCTTCGCCCCGCTCTGCCTCTCCAGGGATGCCTCATTCCCACTTTCCAGGGTACCTGCGGTGGGGCGGAGCCTCCGCACCCCAGCCACGCCCACCCGCCCATGGCTGCCCAATGGGCCGCGGCGGGGCGCGGCCCGGGGCGGGGCCTGGCTGCATATGCATGTATGCAGATGAGCAGGTGCGGGCAGAGCGCGGCGGCGGGACGGACGGGACGGGACGGGACGGGACGGGACGGGACGGGACGGGACGCGGAGCGGCGGCGGGGCCATGGCCACGGCGGGGCCGCGGTCCTTCAGCGCCGCCGAGGTGCGGGCGCGCTGCGCTCGGGGCGCCTGCCTGGTCTCCTGCCACCGCCGCCTGTACGACCTGAGCGGCTTCGTGCGGCTGCACCCGGGCGGGGAGCAGCTGCTGCGCCGCCGCGCCGGCACCGACGTGAGCGCGGCGCTGGACGGGCCGCCCCACCGGCACTCGGAGAACGCCCGCCGCTGGCTGGAGCAGTACTACGTGGGGGACATCGAGCCCGGCGACGAGCAGGTACCGCCGCGGGCCCAGCCGGGACCGGGGGCTATAGGGGAGCCCGGGGGCATATACGGGGTTGCGGAGTGCCTCAGGTGCCTGCTCCAGGGTGAACAAGGGCTATGGGGGGCCCCACGTCTCGGAACTGGCAGATACAGAGGCTGTAGGGTGCCCCAGGGTGTGCAGGGTCTGTACGGAGTGTCCTGATCCCGGGACGTTCAGAGTGTCTCTAAGGTACCCCAGGTCCCAGGGCCGGCATGTACAGTGGTTCTATAGGGCACCCCACGTCCTGGGACTGGGATGTACCGAAATTATAGGGTGCCCCAGGTCCTGGATCGAGTTTTGATGGGGTACCCCAGG